CGGCCTACAACGCGTATGGCTATGCGCACGTATCTTGGAAATGTGGACGTTAAGACACTTATCGATAGTAAAGATTCTTGCAAGGGCAAAGTGGAAATGCTGGAGACCATAGTTAAGACCGGAATGGACATTCTCCTCCCCCTGAAGTCTAAGTCGGTACAAACCAACGAGCCGCCCTGGGTCAATCAACAATTGAAGGGTCTCATTCACAGCCGCCAAAAGGCCCTCGCTCAAGGCGACCAGGAGCAGTACCGCACCCTACGAAATCGCGTTAATCGTGAGAGGAAAGCATGCCGTGCAAAGTTCTATAACTCCAAGGTTGAACATCTGAAGGACTGTAAACCCGCAGTTTGGTGGCGTGAGGTAAAGAAGCTCAGTGGTACGTCAGACGCAGCTTCTAGAGGCGTTAATCCAGCTACCCTCTACCAACATATTGATTGTGGTCAGAGAGGTTCGCCTCCAAGCACGATAGACATTGCTAACACCATCAACCAGGCGTTCTTGGCTCCTATGCGCGTCTTCACCCCCCTTTCACCTAACACCTCAACCAACTCTGACCAGGAGAGTGCTTTCCAGGTATCAGAATTCTCTGTTTTAAAGAAGCTATCCGCCTTAAATCCAACTAAGGCAACCGGTCCGGACGGAATCCCCGGTTGGCTTCTTAAAGAGAATGCAGATTTACTAGCACTGCCTGTGACTGATATCCTTAACTGTTCGTTTAAGGAAGCACGGTTGCCTCAGTCTTGGAAGGACGCTAACATCACTCCAGTACCAAAGCAGAATCCAATACACGATGTAAACAAACACCTACGTCCAATATCCCTAACTCCCGTGCTTTCTAAAGTTGCTGAAGATTTCGTCGTGGAGAGTTTCCTCAAGCCTGTTGTGTTGGCGAAAGTGGATGTACGGCAGTTTGGGACTGTGCCAGGTTCCAGTACGACACAAGCACTAATAAGCATGGTCCACTCATGGCTTAGTGCTACGGATGGGAACGGTGCAACTGTCAGAACCATCCTCTTTGACTTCCGCAAGGCGTTTGACCTTATTGACCATCAGATCCTAGTTCAGAAGCTCATTTCATACGATCTTCCAAGCGGAATAATTGACTGGATAGTGGACTTTCTGTCCTGTCGCCGACAGCGTGTTAAACTTAGTCAGGACTGTTACTCGGAGTGGGGGGCCATCCCATCAGGGGTCCCACAGGGCACAAAACTTGGCCCCTGGTTATTTACTATTATGATAAACGACCTCATCATCCCGGGTACAGACATGTGGAAATATGTCGATGACTCCACTATTTCTGAAACAGTCATGAAGTCTGAGGTCAGCAAAGTCCAACAAGCGGTTGACGAACTCGCGACGCAAGCTTCTGCTGACAAGTTCCAATTAAATGAAACCAAGTGCAAGGAACTGCGCATAACATTCAGTCACTCTAGAAAGAACTTTGATCCAATTAAGGTTAATGATCAGGACTTAGAGTGTGTAGAGCAAGCAAAGATCTTAGGTTTGCAGATATCTTGCGATCTTACGTGGAATAATCACGTATCCGAAGTTGTAAAGAAAGTAAACAAGCGCCTGTATTTTTTGCGTCAGCTTAAGCGTGCACAAGTCAAGTCGGAGGAACTTTTGCTCTTCTATTTGACTTGTATTAGGCCTGTCACTGAATATGCATGCCCTGTTTATCATCATAGCCTCCCGCAATACCTTTCAGTAGATCTTGAGAGATGTCAAAGGCGAGCTTTACGTATTATCTATCCAGATTGTTCGTACAATGAGGCGCTTCTTTTGACTGGTCTAGTTCCCTTACACAACCGCCGCGAGTTCTTATGTGATAAGCTTTTTAATTCCATCCTGTCTAATCCCTCGCACAAGCTCTATAGCTTACTACCTCCCAAGAATGAGTGCGAAGTCAATTTAAGGAGTCAGCACTCTTTTACTACACGGCGCCTCCACACCATTCGTACTCGAAATAGTTTTATCCATCACTATGTCCATAAAGCAATGATGTAATATTGTTTTTCTCTTAATTATATATTTTTGTCTTTTTAATTAGTTCTTCTTAGCCATGTATTTTTTGTAGTATATATTTTATTGTAAATCAAACGTAATTCGGCCTGTGGCTGCAAGGTTCTTGATAATAAACTATCTATCTATCTATCTATCCAGGGGTCCTTACGCATAAGGGTTTTATATTTTAAATAAAAAAAATTAAAATTAATATTTTAAATTAAAAAATTTTTAGTCAGGGTTTCTTTATTCTTTTGCTAAAAAGCCTTTTTTGTATGATTTTCTCTATTCTTTTCAGGGCATCCAATCATCAAATTGTATACAAAAGTAGCACTACTGAATTTTCTTTTAAAGCTTTCCAATTTGGAATCATGTTTCACATCAACCCTGGGTTGTTGTAGTCCAGCTTTGAACAACCTGGTGGTGAATAATTTCTTTAGACATGCATGTTTCTCTTCTTTTATTTATCTCTAGGGTGATTGTGGAGCTGCTGGCACTGTGACTTCATCTAAAGATGAGAGACATAATACCTTGTGCACAGGATTCTCATTTGTGGTATGGACTGAAGAAGTGAGCTCACTTGAAATCAGAGTCCGACCTGCTCTTTGCTTTTAGTCAAGGTCCATATCACTAGAAGCAAACATAAGCATCCTGGGAGTGTAAGGTGAAGGCTGAAAGGGGACTTTTTTTCTCTCCCTTCCCGCTTCCATGTAGTGGGCATCACTTCCATGCAGTGGGCATCATTGGGATTAAGGGGGGATGAGGGGGGATCAACAGCAAGACTGCAAATGTCTATGCTGCCTTCAAGGGTGACAGGTGCTTGCAATTTCATGATGTATCTGTTACCCATGCCAATTCATACTTCTTAGTAATGGAGTTTGAAGTCAGTATTGTAAGTTGCAGACCAAGTATTTCCTTGATTTATGGTCAAGGGTGCTAAATTGATCAATCATAATGCTAAATTGACTAATCATAGTGCACATACCGTAATTTCCGGTCGATTACCCGCACGGCCGATTACCCGCACCGGCCGATTATTGCATACGGCGAAAAAAAAAGTCAACGGATTACCCGCACCGGTGGATAACCCGCACGTTGTTATTCAACTTTTTCGGTGGCGAAAACGTGACATTAAGGCGATACATTTCAGTCTTTCGATTCAGACATGTGCACAATTCTGTGTCAATATTAGCTTATACTTTATTGATTGATTATTGCTGCTGCTCTATTACCGATTTCATCGGCAAGAGTTATTACTCTAAGCTTATAATCAAACGTAAAACTGTGACGTGGGCGTTTCACAGCAGGCATTTTAACTTAATTGGTGACTCGTGGATACACTTATCGCGAATGATCGAGGTTTATAATTCTTATTCAGTCAGTTACCTTTTTATAGCATGTAGGAGCGTAATGAGCAATATCCATTGTTCATTTGTCGTTAAAATACTTTTTCAGCGCGAAATTAGTTAAGTTTCGCACCTATTATTTTCAACATTCTGGTGATGCATTTGGGATTTAAAATTACTGTCGGCAATTTCTCAAAAAAAATCGATATCTCCTGTTCTACTGGGCCTAACAAGTCCCTTAAAACGGGAAAATTCTCTTTAGCTCAAGCTAGTGAAAACTGGAAATTTGTTACTGATGCGCCGGATATCCTTGGATTATTTTTGTCACCATCAAGGTTTTGTTTTCACGCGTGCCGATAAAAATTTGTTTGTCACGCAACTAATTATGCGTGAAATAAACTCGAGTTGGCATCATGTTTTCGTGCCGCTTTGTGGCACTTTTGATACAATAAAATTCATTTGAGAGGTGGAAACGCAGGTAGGTGAGAAATTTTTTCAATTCAACTTCCAGAAGAATTTAAAATTGTCACATAACCCGCACCTCCCTATTACCCGCAGTGGCGCGGATTTAATGCAAAATCAACAGATTACCCGCGGGTAATCGACCGGAAATTACGGTACTAACTGAGAGATGACATTAACTGAAGGATAATAAAAATGTTTAACCTTCATGTATTACTTTTGACTTTTCCTAAGGTCTTAGCTTTGTGTGCTGCATATGAAACAACTTGTTAAACCAGAGACTCTTTTCCTGCGTTAAATGGTATGAAGTCCGAATTAAATGAAGACTAACTTGGATCATTGTTTTTACTCATTAGGCAAAAAAAAAACTTAATAATAGTACCAGCAAATATGACTCAAGTCTTCAGTTTGTAATAAAGATTCTCTTGTTTGCAAACATAATTATGTATTTACAGTTACAATCTTTTAATAGGCTTTTTTTAAAACATAGGGAAACTTTAATACATGGCACTCTTTAAAAGATGCATGTTACATGCATGTATGATCCAATATGTACAGAAACTTTGCAATAGATTCAATAAAATAAATAAAATTAATAACAAAATAAATTACTTGGTTTTCAGAGCATTGACTAGTTTGTCACAGTTGAAAATTTTTGATCTGGGTTCTGTTTATATTGGATAGAGCACAACTGAAATATGTTATTACCAGTAATAAAAAAAAATGTCAATTAACTGAATGGATAATTACTTGTATCTTTTTCAATCTTCCTGTCTTTCACTTTGTGCTTTTGAAGAATATTTGAGACTACCTTGGCAAGTTATGTCTGTCAAAGGGCCCTCAAAATGTTTGTTATATTTGTTTGAATCACAATTTATGAATTTATGCTTGTTTAAGTTCAAACGAGACTGTTCAGAACCTCACACCACACAAATATGATTGTTACACTGAATGCTTTCCATAATATATGTATTTTTTTTAAACTAGACACTTTCTTTCAGCACTCATCAACAAGGCTTAAATTTCTAGGTACAATGCCACATTGAAAGATGCGTCACAGTTACCTTATATGGATACTACCAGAAACATTTTTTGTTTATTTTGTGGTATAGTCACATGGCCTGCACTGGTAGAACTTCCACTGTTTCTTTAGCACAGCAGTTTCTAATCTATCTACATATCCCTCTTTCTAATGATGCCTAAGGATGTTTTTCACCCAATACACAAATTGCATCAACCTACAAACATTTACAGGTGGTGTATGCATTAGAGTCGTATTTTAGAAGCAAGATCTTTCCTTATTGTGTCAACTTCTTTTTTCTCTTTTTCATGTCTCAGTCTCAATATTTCAAGTATTGTAATTTCCTGGTCATCATCAGCTTGAGTGTCACTCATTCTTGGACTACCTCTCCTCCTGCTTACCATCTGTTTTGGTTTAGGGACATTCTTGGCATAGGTCAAAGCCTGAAAGACAAAGTGAGCAGTTTTAAAGAGAGTGCAATTCTAGCCATTGAGCAGGGTCAATGGGCTTTTCTAACCAATAAGTGAGGTTTCCGAGAGATCTGGAATGACCAGGCCTCTCACATGATTGCTGCCTTGAATTTTGAGGGTTTTGTCATTGGGGCTGCCTCACAAGTGAATGCCTGTTCTATGGCTAATTCAATTCTTGCATGAGTATTATGTGTTAAGATTACTCTTGACCTCAAGTACCCCATCAATGGAAATGTACTACTTACAGCTTCCCGTTTTGCCTCTGCCTCCTTGATATGTTTAGGTTTAACTGGCTGTTGAATTGATCCTTTTTTCTCCTGCTGTTTCTTCATGGTTGAGTGCTGGGCCCTCAGCATTGCTGCATACTCTCTTTGCTTACTGACTTTTCTCATCTAAAAATTTTAAGGACAGTTGTGGCAATTTTTGCAAAGTACATTATTTCATACCCTGTTAAAGGTACGTTAAGTCTGTACTCAAGTCAAGAGGCCCTTGCAACCAGAGATTATCCCAGTTTGCCTAGTATGAAGTCACTAGCAGTATGATAGGATCCCTGACAGGATGCCAGTCCATTTTGAGGGAGCCTTCAGCATTTCATGAAGCTTCCCTGATAATTTGCTAATATCCATTTATATTCCTGGGTGACAAGAGGCATTGTGAGAGTAGAATGACAAGCCCATGAACAGAGTGCATTCAAACCCTTTAACCCCTGAGAGTGATTAGCAACTAATTTCTCATATCAGTATCACCACTAAAACAAACATTGAGGTTATGAGAATAAAGGAAATGATCACCAACTAAAGAAGCTCTTGATTGTTAAACAAATTCTCCTTGTCAGTACCATGGGAAATTTATTGAGGACATTATGGAGAAAATCTATACTGATGTCAGGGTGTAATGGGTTAACCCTGACCAAGTCCTGAACCTGAATTTTTGATGAAGAGTCCAGTGTACCAACCATAAGTCTACTGCATCTCCCAGTGTGTACAGTGTGACTGTGACCTCAAAATGTGGTGAGAACATCAGTGATGCACTATGACGGGCCTTGTGTGCCACTATTTCGTTCTTACTGCATTTTGACATCATTTGTGATCTACAGCTGTACATATATTGCTGAACAGATCCAGGGAAACATGGAATCTATTTGCTAATTAGATTAGAGTGTACCCATAATGCATGTTTTACATGTGGTCATAATCAATAAATGATGCAAACCCTGCCTAGGTTTGTACATGAACCAGCAAATATACCTCTTGCCAAATGGCAAATAAATTGGGTAAATTTAAGAGCAACTTGCAGACCATAAAACCATTGACTCCAGCAAATGGACTGGTAATTTTTAACTGTGCAAGATTGTTAAAAAGGTTTTGAGTTAGCTGACTGTGATAAAAAAAAAAAACATGTAGGCTGCATAATGTCATGCTCTCTTGCTGAAAATTGACCCACACGCTTTCAGAATAGACAACAGAATGCACTGTTTGTCAGCCTGTGTTGATGACCCTGAATACTTCAATTAAAAAAAAAAAACAATTAATCTTTACCTTCTCTTTAAAGTCATCAGTGTCATTGTTTGGTCCTAAGCCACCAGCAGGCCGCTCAACCTCAGAGCCAACAAAATTTCTGTAGTCCTTTAAGCTGTATGGTTTGTACTGAAACAATGGTTGTCTTAAGCTGGAATAACTTCCTGATGCTTTACTGCTTCTGTCAGCATCTGCCATCCCATGTAATGATAAAGAACTTGGATTTGCTAAGTACGGTTCTGAGGAAAATTTCCTGTGTAAACTGGATTCTGGGAATTTGTTTGCTTTTTGTAAATTTTGAAAATCAGTGTCAGATAGGGCTGATGATGAATTATAATCTTCTTCGTGCAAATTATGTACACTGGAGATGAGAGGTGTACGCTGGTAACCGTAAACACCTGGGGGTGCAGACTGGGTGGAGAGAGAGTTATAATGTGTTGGTTGAAAAGACCCAGCCATTGCATGCCTCTGTCTTGAGTTTGCTGCAGCACTTTGGTATCCTCTGCTATAACCAACTAGATCTGAATAATTTGATTCTAAAGGATTATAGTATGAGCCAAAGTCTTGGCTGACATCGTAGTAAGGACCATGTGAATGACTGTGATATGTGTCAAGTGACTTCTCTAGAGAGCTGTCTCCTTGTAAGTTTTGATCATTATCATAGTGAACTGGACTTACAGAGTTTTGGCTATTAAAATCATCACTGATTTTGTGAGAATGCTGTGACTGACTCTCTAAGCCTGAGCCAGGTACATTCGCAACAGTTTCTTCTGTTTGGTTTCCAGATTTTTCTTTGGATTTTTCGACATTCTTTCTCGTCCTCATTCCGTGAACTTGAGCATAGCCAGTCCTCTCGGGAACCTTCTTCCCAACCCTCTCTTTGTTTCTTTCTATGATGTGCTGTGGCTTTCGCGGTTTAGGCTTTCCGACTTTTTTGCTGTGTTTCATGTTGTCATTTAGTAGCGGAGTAGAACTCTTGGGAATATCCGAAATGTCTTCCGAAGTCTCTACCTGCGAAGGCTCGATTTTCATCTTGGTGGATTCAACTCGTTTGGGTTCGTTTGATTCTACAGGCTTTGAGAACTCGAGAGAATCGTTTAATGAAGACTCCAAACTATCAGTGACCCTTTCCGTCTGTTCTTCCTGACCACTGGACGCGACCATGCTACGAATAACATCTTCATCCGACGGTTCTTCATCCAATATGGCGGCCAAAACAGTAGGCGACGCAAAGGTCGTTATTTTGTCTTCAGCGCCGTTGTTGCTTTGTCTTTCTTCGAGGCTTTCCATTCAGCATACATCGAAAAACAAATTACATCATTGTGTGCGGTTTAGAAAATTAACTAAACACCAAAAAACATTCACAAGAAAATCCAGTTTTCAGGCACGACAAAACTACCCACGATGCATTACTCGTTGCCATGGACTACAGTTCAATTGGAGGGAGGGGTGGTAGGGGCACTACCAAAATAAGGAGGTGTATAAACGTAGGTCGAAATTTTCTTCAATCTGAGAGTACTACGGGAGAAGCCCTCCCCTATTGCACAGAGTAAGCGTTTTCTTAGAAAAGCCTGGATCCTACTCAACACAGCAACAAGTAAAGCCGATAAAAATCTTGTTAACGATTATTTGACGGATGGTGTGTTGTCTTTTTGGTAGAGAGGAAAAAGATTGAATAATTTTAGGGTATTCCTTTAGGTCTCTTTTATTCTCACCGAAGAGCCGAGTTTCACATTTGAACGGAAAACTCTCTATGTTTTGCATTGAGGAAAAAAAAATACTTAAAGTAAATTTCATACATTGGCATATTTACAACACCAAAAGAGAATCGAAAATTAATCACGGTCTCCTGGAGAAGTGAAGAATACACAGCTAAGGGCTCCCGATATTTTAGCTTGGTAAGCTGAAAAGTGTAACAGCAAATGATGAGTGTAATTTTATTCTTATCTGCCAACATTGGGGCATTTTCTGGACGAGACGATCAGTTAATAGCTTCATCAGAAGTATTTCTCCGCTGGCTGGTAATTACGAGGTCTTTACCAACGCAAGCCGGCGAGAGGTTTGGTTCTGGCTCGTGCCAAACCCCAGGCAAATCTCCTCCTGACTTGTCTCCTTCCCGCAGGCAGAGAAGAGCGCTTCCTGCAAGTTAATGAGGGTCTGTTCGGAAGCTAATCAGCTAGCACCAATAGTGACCTTTTTGACGGCGTGGGCGGAAAGCTATTCTCAGATGTGATCTTTAGGGCAGAGAGAAACTTGTTTCACAAGTTCTACCATGTAAGTTAGAGTGAATATTGCGAGCATCATTTTTCAAATAATTTTATTATGTTTAATCTGGATTTCCTTAGCGTTATATGGGATCTGGAAATGACATCACACGTAACACGAAAAATTTCTTAAAATATCTGACTTTATAAGATAAAAGAAGTTGTTTCATCGCGCACACCACGTGACTACTCCTTCAACTGGCCACCATGAAGTTTTCCTAAAGCTGACGGTTCGAGCAAAAACCCTTCGTCAGAGCGAATTACGAAAGGGGCGAACACTCAGAGCGTCAGATTTAGAGATTGTTTATAGTGACCGATTTACATTAACAACTCAGTTGATAAAACCAGATTACGTATGATATCCCCAGACGCAGTACCACAGTTTCTTTAGAAACGTGTCCCCTTTGCTCCTTTAACTGTTGTAGCTATTGTTCAGTTGTCAACATCGCTCTTCACTACATTCTTTCTGTTCTAGAAGCAGGCGATATTATAAGACCAGAGTGATTTAGGAAGAATCTAAAACAAGCTCGGCACAAAATCTTTAGAGTTCCAGAGCCTCGACTTTAACTGCGGTCACGAAAACAAGACTGACCATTCACATCATAAGTCAGACTAGAGCAATTTTCCATTGAGTACCGCAAGAAATCTGGGATTGTTTTGTTTTTTCTTCATTTCGCTCTGTGATTAGTTTAGAAAACTCGCATCACTTTCTCAACCAATTGGGTGTGCAAAACTAAAACCAATCATGACTTGGTCGCTCGCGTTTTCCCGCGCTTTGGGCAGATTGCTTATTTTTACCTTGAGTTCTCATTGGCTCTTAAATGCATTTTCGTTTTTCAGTGATTGGCCATTGTTATTAATTTGGTTTTTATTTTATGACACTCTATCGAAAAGCGCGTTAAATTCAGCTTTTCCAGTGGTATCTGGAGGTTTCGTCCCATTGCAGGTTCGCTCTCAACCAGTTCGCCTCGACCTCGGAGAGTGGTGGTAGAGACGACCATGTTAATTTTGATGAGGCTAACTCATCGTCATAGGGGCGAACTTGCAATGGGAAGAAGCTTCCATGCCAAACCCTACCAGTTGGTGCTTAGGACCGAAATAAGCATTGATGACAAAGATGGCAGAGCCCATTCATCTCTTGTTTCCTGTAAACTGATTGGTCAGTTTTGAGTACAGAACTCCAGTAATAGAAGTCATACTGTGATAGAGAAATTTTCATCTTCGAAAAACTGGAATGTAAGAACTTCAATATCAGCTTTGATTGTCTTCCTCGTATCCTTCTGTTTTCATGTCTGATATTCCAAGATCGTCTTCTTGTTCCTTTGTTCTTGGGTAATGAACGATTTCCAGTTCAGGGTCTGGATCTGGAGCATACAAATTCTGTAAAGAGGAAAGGGTTCTGTCTTGAGTCATGATGATAAAATCAAAAGACTTCTGTTTTCCACGACTTTTTCCCCACAATTTGATTGAGACCAGTCAGCGGGAATACGTATTAACTTATGGAAATAGCTCCGCAAAAGTTGTAATACTGCCAAGTTCTAGGGCTAGATGTTGAAAACTAACAAAGATATGAGTCTAAACATATCGCGGAGAGCAAAAAGCACCTCTGCACGTGAGTAACTTGCCTTTCGACTTCACCTCGTAGTTGCTTTCCCTTACTTGATGCACAGGCCAGTGCGAGTCGGGCGCGAAGGAAGACGTGGGAAGAAAAAGACTCGTTCCCTTGCGCGTAACTCACACTCACGCTCATCTCGCGCATGACTCGCCTTGCAAGTTCGCCTCGCGCTTACTTCCACTTGTTTTAGGCGGAGAAAGTGTGTGTTAAGGGCGAAGGTAGTAGCGCAAAGTGAAAAAAAAGCTTCTTCCATGGCTTATCACTCGCCTATCGAGTTCGCCTTGCACTGTTTCCACTTGCATGAAGCGAAGAAAAGGGCGGGTCACGCTAATGGGTACGAGCGCGAAAAGAAAAGCCCTCTCGCGCGCGTGTAACTCGCCGTTCGAGTTCGCCTTGTGCTTGCCTCTACTCGCTTAAATATGCTGACTGAGGCTAAATTTTCAAAAATGGACAATACATTACTTACACCATGGGCTTAAGAAAAATTACCTGAATATAGCTGTTTCCAGCCGGGTCATCCAGTGTGATCAGAACATTCATTTCCTCGCCATTAATTACCTGCGCAATAAATTGAGTAGAGCGGGCTTAAAATAGACACAAAGAAAGAGTCAGGAAAGAGTTGATGCACGCACGCATTGATGAAGTCTCCATAAAAGACTTGGGCAGGAAAGAGGAAACGAACGAGAAGATGGTGACGTTAGTAAAGGCAAAAGCAAAAGGGGAGGAAGGAGAGAAGAGGACTGGAGACTAGAAAGGAGAGGGAAAAGAACGAAAAGAGAGAGGAACCAGTTAGAAAACAAAATCAGTAAAACGGGGAAGGTGGGTAACTTAGCCCTTCAGCTCCCGGAAGTGATTAACACGTAACTTCTCCTTCTAATATCCATACCCAATCCAGCAAATAGGTAATGAGAATATTCAAACTTATCAAGTGGAAGTTGCTATCTTGATCTAACACTAAATTCTCGTAACAAATTTACAAGGAAATGTATAGCAGCTAGAGGGGAGAATTAATGATCAGATCTTGGAAGTTGAACGGTTAAGGGATGAGATAACAACAGGAAAGGGAAAAGGAAGAGGAGATAAGAGAGCAGGGGGGGGGGGAGGGGGGGGTTGGGGAATAACAGTCTTTACCTTGTCCAAGTTGGTGATAAATGTTTTCATCTTTGCACTGAATTCAGCCGGGCTGTCTCCAAAGCCAAAAGGATTCAGCGACTTTAGCTGTTACAAGAGGAAAACAAATGAAGCGATCAGTTCTGACTGGTAGAAAACGATGCGTGGTGACCGGCTTAACCCCTGATTAATTAATTTACTTTCGCAATACTTCAGCATTTGGTCCAATTGTGTTCACCCGTACCCCGATCTCACGCGCGATATAAAATATATTTAATGTAAGATGAGTATCACGTACCTGGTCCTTGATATTACACAAAAGGCCCTCTAATGTCGTGAATCGTCCACCCAGTGTGCCGGCTGCGATGTGGAAATCCAATGATGGCATGTATACTTCACACGTTTCTGACTGCAATAAAGATAGACGTAAGATCACGGTGGAATCCGTTAAAACAGCCATCTCTCGGCAGACAAAAGGACAAAAGACGACTTTTCCAAAACAAAATCTGTCTTTAATATACTTAGTAAATACATTCCATGTTGTCGTGCGTCTGTTCTTGTAATAGATTGCAGTTGACATCAAAATAAGGTAAAAACAAAAAAGAATCACTCGAGGCGCAGCATATATAACTCGCCGTATTCTATAAAAAGCTTTTTTAAATCCTTACACCCTGACATCAATATGCATATTCTCCATACTGTTTTTTATACATTTCCTAAGGAGCTGACAAGGAGAATGTGTTTAACAATCAAGAGCTTCTTGAGTTGGTGATCAGTTCCTTTATTCTCCTGACCTAAATGTTTGATTCAGGGTTTATATGGTAAGGAGAAATCAGATGCCAGTCACTCTTAGGGGCTAAAGCGTTAAGCGAGCGGATTCTTCTATGAAACTTTTTTGCCACTTTTCCCTTCCGTCCTTTAAAATTTTCTTCAACAATTTTTATCTGTCATATCACCAGCACAAGCAAATTGCACTCCGGACAAGTTTCTCCTCCACCAAATCTCTATCGAAAAAACTAGCATGGAAGACTTTAACCAAGAGGATTCCCGAGGAAAAAAAAATTGTAATATTGTTCTATCAACATTGCTAAGGAAAAGTTTAACATAAGCCATGAACCAGTTCTCGCGAGCATTCCGGAAAATTTGTCATATTCTTCCCTGAAAATCGCCACGAAAAACTTAAAACCTCAGCTCCCCGTTCATGCGATTTCAGAATAAGATTTTCGCATCCAATAATGCAAACAAAAGTTGAAGCTGTACCTTCAGCACATCTCTGTTGAGATCCAAAGGATCTGTTATCCTGAGAGTGAGTCTCGTTCCATGAGGTTCCATACCAGCTAAAACAAATATTGATCAGAAAGTTCAATTGACTGGGAACTGAGGACCAATTCATATTACGCCGTCAACAACGCTGGTTCAGAGAACACGCCTCGCTACTCGTCCCCAGTCCTTTCCCCACTCTTGACTATGAATGGGGGAGACACACGAGAGGTGTGCGCGTACGCGGAGTAGATGTTATTGTCTTCTTCGTCGTGGCAGTGCTAGTCTCCGAGCCCCGCAGGCGCGCATTAAGCGTAAAAGAAGACTAAACGGGTCAGGCGAACCACAAACCGAAAAGCATATAGAAAAACGCAACTGCAACAACAGAAACGAACCAAGAACCAGTTACTTACCGCCAGACTTGACTTCATTTGACCTATGCCCGCAAGCATCGCAATTGGTCGCCATAATCACCACCTCTTTAAAATGCGGTATAGCTGACATACTAGTTAAGGTGAATCCGGTTTAATAAGTGATGGACAGTGAATAAAATTTCATGAACGGTGAACGTTGATGACTGTGCGTATATATTACGTAGGTACAACGGAAAAATCAAAGACAAAATGACAAAGAGACAGACGTAAGTACCAGCGCACGTACGTACGGACGGACAGACAAAAAAACACAGGGGCGTACGGACGCAGAGGGATACCCGTGGAGAGATCAACGAACGGAGAGACAAACGAGGGGACAGAATGACACACACACAGTCACACATTAATCGAGCAGTTGAGGTATGTAAACGAACTACCTTGATTTGAAAGTACTAACAATAGCATTAAACTGAAAACAAATAAAACGGCAGTAAGAAAAGAGGATACCAACAAGCTTCATTCTGGTTTCTGTAGGTGCATTACACGAAGGACAATTTGTTGGAAAATTTAACACCTGCAAAAAAAGCAACGAAAGAGGAGAGAGAAAGTTAACCTGGAAGCTAACGGACCTGACCTTCGTTGGTGCTTATTCCGGTAGAAATTAACGTCATTGTTCGTCCTATTGGGCTACTTAACCATACTGGGGCAACAGAACATGCAAAATATGTCACGGTATTACATTGTAAAACAGGGCACAAGGAACCGAAACAATTCTTACCTCGTCATTTACATTTGTTTGCTCTTCCTCTGTGTGTGGGAACGTGGAAAAGAACAGAGTCAAACTTTGCATACTAACAAATGATATCAAGGTGAATACTAATAAATGATATCAAGCTGTAAGAGAGAAACTGTTACATGATCATGTTCAGTTTTCAAGCTTTAATTTAAGATTGTCAAAACAACAAATCTGAAATGAGTTAACGACTCGTGCTCTGGAGGGGAGGAGAGCGATAAGTGGGGCACATTTAACTCTACGATACACGGTTGCTGAACAGTCGGGACACGCCTTTTTCCGCCCGCGAGAAGATTTGAGACGAGAAAGGAAGAGGCTGGTCGGAAGTCTGGCACTAATAATCAGTGTTAGACTGTTTACAGACCTTTCGCCAGCTCGCATCACTCATACTTTCCCAAGGGCAAAAAAACGCTGCTACCAAAGCCCTGATAATGAGGGCCTGCTCGCAAGTTGATAATCAGCAATTTTAGGGGTGGGAGGGTGGGGGAAATTCTCAAGGGACACACTCGCGACGCTCTTGCATTTATTTATGTTTCCTGCTCTGAGAACCTAACCTATTTCAATGACATGCTTAGGAATTATTTGTATGGGGGTAAGGCTACTCAATTTTACAACTGCTTCATTTAATATGCATTTCTCATGAGGCGGGAGAAGCTAAGCAAATGGAGAAGCGGTTTGTGACAGGTCTTACATAACACTCGCTTTTTTTTTCTAGTACAAAATAACCAACAGTCCAAATAAACAGAGGATTTTTGCACGGAATTCGCGCGTTATCTGTGCACTTCTACGTACAGTTGGATATCAATCTCCTGTGACTTTTCTACTGATATTTCTCAATGAAAACCTTGTTATCTGACCTTCTTCCTCTTCCTGTTTCTCCTCGGTTTGACTGGCTGGCTGAAGTCCTAGTTGGGCGTTCTGTTCTGCGTTTCTGCGATAATACACCATGGTCATCTGTGGATCTTCTTTAGGGGCATGTGGATTTTCGATGAAACTGTTGCCAGATGAATCATCCAGGTGAAGGGTGAACTTCCGGTTTCCATCGCGGCATTTTGTCAACTGCGCCACAAAATCATCAATTTTCACTGCATTGTCAGGATCCATGATCTGTTCACAATTCAAATGGAAATACAAAAATCAATCGGTGACTTGACGTACAGTAACAACTTATAATTATTGTATTGTACAACAGAACCCCACTGACTCGAACGCTGTTACTTCGAAACCCTGGTAGCTCGAAAGAGGTCCGATCTCTCTGGGAGATCAGCCAACTCAAACCCCTGCTAAAGCAAACCTCTTTTTCGGTTTCCTCTGAGAGTTCAAGTTAGCGGGGTGCTATTGTGTTTAGGAAAAAAAATTGGATCTACATCTACAAGGCAATGTTTCAGAGTGTTGTTTGATGTAGAGCAATAGATTTTCTCTCTTTGCTTCAACTTAACTACTGGTAGGCAGACCATGCTTCACAAAATCTTTGCTTTTAAAGGCCAATAAAAACAGATTGTACATAAACATTGTGAATAAACATAGAGTTTAAAAACTCCTATCTGGCAGGAGGCAGACAAGTTTGCTGTATGGAGACTGCTGCCAAGGTGTCCATTGTGGGGCAATAGAAAACAAATCCAGCTAGTAACAGGATGGAGGACTTGAACGTGGGACCAACAGTGCCTTAACTACTTGGCCATACTCTGATTCACATGATTTGGATCATGTTATGCTCAGTTTAATTTGCATCAAACTAATCCAGGTAAAGCCAACGATTACATGTATAGAATTATCAATGATTTTATCAATAATTTACCCTTCTAACTGGCTGATCTTGCTCCAAAGCAGTGATGGCACGTCCTAAAAGTCCTTCGATGGTGGTAAGTTCTATGCGAAAAAAGAAAATTCAGTTTACAAGCAGACTTAGAGATTACAAAACAAAAGGGCAAGTCTGTACACTGCTTTCTGTCAATAGCCAGCTAATAAAAGCATTTAACATGTTTTGATAAGATCAGTAATCACAGCAAAGTTCATCTAATATAAAAAATATGTAAAAATGAAATGTAACTTAAATCAAAGCTCAAATGGGAGAGAAAAAAAAACAGCACCCCTCAATTGGTAGAATAATTCTACTACAGTCGGTACCTCTTAAGAACATGTATTGCCTAAACAATTTCCAGCAAGTCACTGATTACACAGTTATGACAAAAAAAAATAACAAAGGCAATGATATCATTGCTACCTCCTTTTTGGGAAAAAGCAGGACTCTCAAACTCCAACTCTGGAATGGTAAATGATGCAGAATCTGATTTGACTACCTGTCTGTTCAAATCCTGTTGAGACAGAAATTAAAAAATAAACACATTACTACTCAATCAACTGACTATCTTGAAATCTAATGTACAGTACTGATAACTTATCATCACCTTTTACTGCAATACTAACAATACCCACATTTTGGGCAATGCTACATCTCCTATTCCATTAAAAGTATATTGTTTACGTATACAATCAACTTTTGAAACATATTTTAGGTGTATGCTGCCTTTGGTTGTGTTGTGGAAAAAAATGACAAGTGCAAAGAGTGAGTGTCCATGAAAAGTTTACAGAGGTTTTACAGTACCAACAGTACCAGCCTTGGATCAAATATTATGGTTGTAAGAATAAAGGAAATGATCAGAAACTTAACAAGCTTTTGGTTATTAGACAAATTCTCCTTCTAGAAAGGAAATGGGAAATGTATAGAGACCAGTATGGAGAACTTGTAGACTGATGTTAGGGTGTAAATGGTGAATTGTCACAGATCTGAGAAAAATCGAACTGAAGATCAAACTGATTTGCAAATTCTTCAACTAGTGAAAAATTTCACATAGTTTATAAGCTTAACCCTTTAACTCCCAAGATCTCATTAGTAATTCTCCTCACTGTCTGCCATATGGTTCTTGTGATGTTAGTTTGGAGAATTTGGTATTGGATCAACTAATAATCCCCTTTTTAAGACTTTCCTTTATTCCCATCACTTGTCTGCTTGATATTGTATTGATATTGTAAGGAGAAATTCTGTCTTGGTCACTTGTGGGAGTTAAAGGGTTAACCCCTGAGAGAGACTAACATCTAATTTCTCCTTAGAAAATCACCCCTGAATGAAACATTAAGGTCATGAGAATAAAAGTAATGATCACCAACTAAAGAAACTCTTGATTTTCCAACAAATTCTCCTTGTTATCACCCTTGGAAATGTATAGAGAACAGTATGGAGAATATGCATACTGATGTTAGGGTGTAAATGGTTAAGTCTGTACCTAGTCAATGGTTACAAGAAAATACGTGGGTTCAAGAAAGTACAGGTAAGGTCTAATTTCTGGCCAGTGGAGACAACCAAAGAGGTGGGCAAGCACAAAATAACAAGGGTCTGTTTGTTTATGATGAGGACTGGAAATGAAAGACAGAAGATTTAAGAACTACAAACAAAATTGAAAGGGTCTTCATTTTGTAGAAAGCCCTCCTCAAACTATAAAAGGAAGACCCTCACTAACTTGTTTTGTTCAACTATCAGAGAAACAAAGTTGGATCAATATCAGTATCTGGGCAACTGCCCACCTACCCCTCCCTTAACTCAACAACAGTCAATTGACAACAAGTTAAGGTTAATGTTGGGTTAGGGGAGGGGTAGGTGGGCAGTTGCCCAGATACTGATATTGATCCACAAAGTCTTCATTTTCACAACATAATCAAAGTTTGAGTTTTTGGTCTCTGGTCCTTGGTATGTGTTTTAAAGACATTCCATGGGTCAGGTAAAAAAAATTGAGGATAACTTTGCCTTTTCACCCACCCAATCATCCACTTGTCACTGCTGTTTGAGACCTTGGAGCTGACTACATTGATTATGTAGAACTTTACCTATTCATAACCCTTTAACTCCCAGATCAAATTTGTCATTCTCCTTACTGCCAATCATACAATTCTTATAATGTTAGTTCAGAGAATTTAGTATTGGATCAACTAGTTATCCCAAAATTGATATTTTTCTTTATTCTCATCACTTATCTGGTTGATATTGAATTAATATTGTAAGGAGAAATTATGTCTTGGTCACTCATGGGAGTTAAAGGGTTAACTTGACAGATCACCTTTGGAGAGGACACCAACAGTTTAATGTTGCATCCCATATCTTGAATTCTTCCCGCAGACTGGATTTCATTATTGGCATAACCGCAGTGAGGACATTCAAATGACATCAGAACAACTTCTCTAAAGAATGGTATTCTTGTGAGAAGTATTCGAGTTGTTCCCTAATGAAGATAGATTATTTTGCATCAGGACAATTGTAATTAAGAGATGGAGAAATGCTGATCAAAAGGGAGTGGTTTGGTTCACTCAATTCCAGTTATCAGCTCATATTCTGAGTTGTCTTAGGTAGAAATGCATTAGGCTAACTGTTGCAGAGCTGAAAACAAGGCTCCATATATCCAAATGTTCAGGATTGGTTATGGCCAGCTTGGAGCTAAGTGCCTTGTTGGCTATTTATTTACCAGCTCATATCCAATGTGCAATGGAATAACTGTTGAATAAGTACACGTAATTGCTATCATCTCAAACTAGGCATATCTTTCACCACCCCCTTCCTTCTCCCCCCACCCCCTCCCCATTATATTAAAATTTAGTCACTGTAGTAGGCTTGTAAGAGTTTATCAACTCCATTTTAAACACAGATGTTTGAACTCCAAACTTTCACACATCATTTCAGTCCAAGTCACTGCATGTATCATTTGGAGATGATTTCCCCCCTTTTTTCACAATAAAGCGACAGTACTTTCAATTCTTAATGAGAAAACTAAAATGAAACTTAGATTACAAGCAAGATGACGGCAAATCAAGAACATCCACGTTTCACAAGCGAATTAGGAAACACTTTTTCAGTTATGTTTTCGAATCCTAGCAGTGATCTTTGTTAACTCCCATATATCTCGCATTTTTAAAGGCAGAATTTTTACTAAGATCTAGCTTGTTAATCAATAAAGAGTGTATACCTTAAAACAGAGCTGTACTGTACAAAATTTGATCAAAACTACGTGAAGGAGACAAACCAATTGTATACTAATCATGCAGCGATAAATAAAATTTTAATGATTTTGAAAGAAAACCATTTTAAGTTTTAACTGGTGAGTAAAATATATATTAACCCTATTTTTATTTTATTTTATTTTATCTATTTTATTTTAGTAAAAATTTTTAGACTCACGTTTTCATGGCAATTCATGCACAAACTTTCCACTGCATTGGTTTGTGGTTCATCATCTGCATCGATGTCTTTAAAAAGCAGTTCATTTGTTTTTTCTTCCATAATTTCAAACAAACATCTGTAAAATTTAAAGTACGACCCCCAAACTTTCTAAAAATTTCAACAACACTTGCAATAATCTCTGAAAGGTCGAGTACACGTTTTCTCGGCGATGATGTAGCTGCAGTGCCAATACTGCAGGCTCACTAAAACTAGACCTAGTCTCTCCCGTTCCAATGCGGACGCTAATATATCGAAGAGCCAATCAGAGCCTTACATCAGCATTTGCACATGGTTCACACGATCAAAGATGGGGAATGTACTCGCGGCTTCACCGTCAAAACCCTCATCTCCCAGCAATGTTGCATCGATGCCGCCGCCGCCACCGCTTACGGCAGCTCCCCCTGTTGAACCAAAGCCGCAGCCGGATGAAAAACCATCCAATAGCAACCCTGGAACGTATGAAGATCTACACAAGTCGTGTAAAGGTAGGATAAAGATCGTCAGGCTTCGTAAAATTTCACCGGCTTCATGGCGCATTTGGATTGTCTGATTATGTAATTTATCGTAAATCTAGACTAGGCAATCTTAAAGCTTATTTATTCGTTTTTACAGCCGTTTGCTTCCCGCGATTTCTGTAGATTTTTCTGGGAGTTTGTGCAAGTTTGCTCTCAATATTCCTTACTACGTGGAAATTAGCAGTCAGAATGGATTTACAATCACAGCAATCTTTACTGAATTCTGTTTAACTAAAATCGAACATACTTCGCAAATGAGATATTTTGAAAAAATTGTTGTTTTACTCGCTCTAAACATTTAATATTGAAGGGCATGAAGAATTTTCAGGTACACAAAAGTACATGGATTAAAAATTCCTACATAGTTTCGACAATGTCCTCACCCCACCCCCTTCCGTTCTTACCCCACCAGGAAGAGTAAGTAGAGTTCTTACTGAAACTGACCACACGAATATGTTTACAACACCACTTGATTGGCCAGTTTCAGTGGTCTCTGATTTACATTACATTCTGTGGTACCTAAAGAAAAATATTACTACAGATATCAAGCTAAATGGTCAAATATACTGGATCCTCTGCCTCACCTACTATCATCTGCCACATGAAAGATTAACCCTTTAACTCCCATGAATGACAAAGACATAATTTCTCCTAACCATATTAATTCAAAATCAAGCAGACAAGTGGTGAGAGTAGAGAAAAATATCACCTAGGGGATTTTTAGATGATCCAATACTAACATCTCCAAAACTAACATTATAAGAATTGTATGGCAGAATGTGAGGAGAATTTCTTATGAGATCTTGCAAATGGAAAGGTTAGATGTGATTTTTCATCAAAGAAGAAATTAGAGAGAGACACTCCCTCTACAAAATTCTTAGAAGGCTTAGTGACCAAACTTAACCCTCCACTACGAAAATCTTCCTCTTGCATAACCCTTTACTCTTGAAATCTAGATTGAATTTCTCCTCCCTGTATGCAGTACGTTTCTTATAGTTTTAGTTCTGAGAATTTTGTGATTAATCAGAATAATTTCCTTGTAGACATTTTCTTCCCCCTCACTGCATTTCATCCTGAAATTTTTCTTCATTTTGTTAGGAGCAATTATATTTTTGGTCCCTCCATTTCATAGTTTGAAATTACAGACTCATTTGAGTAACTTTGTTTTGAAAAAACAACTGTGCTAATGTGGTGTTGGCTTTCTTGATATCTGAACTTTCATTATGATTTTCAGTGTGATCACAGTATTCTGAGTTTCTCAGGTTCTGTTATGTAACTCAACAATGTCAATGATAAATCCATTGTAATTTTCAAAGTATTCACAGTATTCTTAGTTTCCCAGTTCATGTTTTTTAACTCAACATTGTCAATGATAAATCTTTTATTGTGCTAATTTATATTCTTTCTAATTTGAATTTTTCAGACGTCTTCCCTCAGCCGTTTGAGGGCTGTAAACTAGCTATCAATAAAGGCCTAAGCAACCACTTTCAAGTCAGCCACACCCTTCAGCTCAGTAGTATGGGGCCAGGAGCATATCATTTTGGAGCCACCTATGTAGGAAATAAGCAGACAGGGCCTAATGAGGTGATGATGATGATGATGAAGGGCTAATAGAGAAACTTTCAATTGAGTGTTGAAAATAATCAGGGACTGTTTTTTTTACTTTACTTTGCTCTGTGGTTGGTCCAGAAAACTTGCATCATCCTCTCAACTTATCAGATGCAAAACTAAAAACAACTGCAACCTGATCATTTGTGTTTTCCAGTGCTTTAATCCTTTAACCCCTAAGAGTGACTAGCATCTAATTTCTCCTTACAATATCACCACTGAATCACACATTAATGTCATGAGAATGAAGGAAATGATCACCAACTAAAGAAGCTTTTGATTGTTAGAAAAATTCTCCTTGTCAGCATCTTAGCCAATGTACAGAGAACAGTATGGAGAATATGAATACTGATGTTCGGGTGTAAAGTGTGAAACAGATTTTTCATTGGTTAATGTTTAAGGTAACCATTGTTTTGACTGTTTGGAGGGATGACTTCAGTTTTGGCTTTTTTCAACACTCAGTTGAAAACTGCTCTTAAAAATGATTTTGCTAATGTTGATTTATTTCTCTGACTTTTTTTTTTTTTTCAATAAGTTTGGTCTGAAACCTCTGTATTTCCTTTGTTGGGTAACATTGATATGGGGTATGTGCTTTCTTGGGAGTTGAGGTAGCTTTGTATTGAGCATGCTGATCTTGATGGGGGAAGGTCTGGATTAAATCCCTGGCCATAAGGTGGTTTTCCCAGGAAAGTCACTTTACTGTAATAGTGTCTCTCTCCAACCAGGTGTATAAAATGGTATTGGTTAACTTTCAGGGAAGCCCTATGAAATGCTGGGGGAGGCTACCTGCTATTGGACTAGTCTACCATCCCTTAACTTTTAATTCTATGGTTAAGGAGTTTAAATCCATACTTGAGACAAGTTACCCATCCAGCTGGAGTTATTATTAGTTTTCATTGCATGAAGCAACTAGGAGTCTTACTACTCCTCCTTCTCTCCCTGGATAGGATGCCAGTGTGTTGCAAGGTCCCCCCCCCAAGCATTTCAAAAAACTTCCTCAACCCTTTAAACCCTGAGAGTGACCAGTGTCTAATTTATCTGTACAGTAATACTGCTAGATCATCATGAGAATAAAGGAAATGATCGTCAACCAAAGAAGCTTTGATCTTCAAATGAATTCTCCTTGTCAGTACCACAAGAAACATTATGGAAAAGAGTATGGAGAATATAGATACTGATGTTAGGGTGTAAAGGGTTAAAAATTTGCCACTACTTATTTATACTCCTGGGCGGAGAAAGACACTGTGTGAATGAAGTGTTTGGATCAATATCAGTATCTGGGCAAATGCTTAGGGTTAGTTAGGGTTAATGTATGGTTAGGGGAGGGGTAGGTGGGCAGTTGCCCAGATACTGATATTGATCCAAGTGTGTTTCCCAAGAACAAAACACATTGACCTGACCAGGTTCAAACCTGGACCTTTCAAAATGCAGTCCAGTATACCAGCTATCAGGCCTCAGCATTGCACATCTTGTGTTTTGACTGTTAATAAATATCTCATACTTTTCTGTTCTGTTCATAATTTTAGGCATTTCCTGTGTTGCTTGGAGACATTGACACGAACGGTAGCCTTAATGCTCAAATGATCCATCAGTTTACCAACAGACTCAGAGGAAAAATGGTGATACAGGTAATCGTTTTGAACTTTCTTTCAATTTTTTAATAGATGTTAAAAAGCCATAACACAATCGAGCTAATCTTTAGAGTTACAGTCGCCATTAAACTCCACACCTTACAAGGTAGCAATAGAATTCCAAATACCCTCACGAAATATTGGCAAAGTTTCAAAAAAGACCCTACTTTTCAGATCAAGACAGTCGTTAACTGTTTTGTTGTATTAAAGTAGCTAGTGCTTGGGAAATAAGTAGCCAGAAAAAAGGCAGCTATTGGTGCTTCTATAGTTAAGACTTTTTCCATAAGTGGTTGTCTATGATGTAATAGCAACTGTGCCTGGGAAAGGGGCTGTAAGGCGAACCCCAAACAGAGGAGCCTGCTGTGGGCTAAATTATAGACTGCGGTTAGAGGTCTTATACAGTTTAGGCAGAGGTAGATTGACTTTCAACAAAACCCTAGAGAAAACCTCGTGTACTGACCTTCTCATCTGCTACGTGTATGTATGTATAAGAAAACGGAGATCAGCAACAATTTTTTCAGTTGGAGTGGCACTCAGAGTGTAAACAGTCACAGGTGAACAGTAATTAAATCAAAGGGACTTTTTCTTTTTTTTTTTGTGCAGACTCAAAAATCAGTTTGGGTTCTTGTCCAAAGTGATGCTGAATACCGTGGAGATGACTTCACCGCAAGTCTGACGGCTGGTAATGTAGATATACTCAATAGTTCTGGCATCCTTGTGGCTCATTATCTTCAACGGATGGCTCCACGTGTTGATGTAGGAGGAGAACTTCTCTACCACTATGGCTCTGGCCAGGAAGTGGCCATGATGTCCTGCGCGGGTCGATACACAGCAGATGATTGGATCGCCTCAGCGACAGTTGGTCAAACAGGATGGCATTTAAGTTACTGGCACAAGGGCAATGAGAATGTAAAGGTTGGCGTAGAGTATGAGTATAACACAAGGGCCCGCGATAGTTCGGTTAGCGCAGGGTATCTAATTGATGTACCCAAAGCTAATTTTACATTTCGCGGAATGCTGGATACAAATTGGACAGTGGCCGCTGTTATGGAAAAGAGACTTCCTCCATTGCCATTCACGTTTTTGTTGAGTGGTATGGTAAATCATACCAAGAATCAAGCGCGATTTGGGTTTGGTCTAAATATAGGTTGACTGTTGGGTTCAATGTCAGTATCTGAGTAGCTCTGTACCTACCCCTCCCTCAGCCTAACAACATTCAACTGATACCAAGTTAGGGTTAATGTGGGACAAGGGGAGGGGTAGGTGAGTTGTTACTTGGATATCGACATTGATACAAATATTGTTGCTAAGAGCAATAAGATTTTTTGTTATTACTTTTAACGGCTTTGTGTGGATCAATCAGATTGTGGAAGCAAACTCTCTCCAGATTTGGCTTTTTCAGTGCCTACAGCACTGTCACCTTGAAGACCAGCGGGCAGGGTGTTTTTATTTTACTGGGGACTGGAGTAGGAACTGTTTATAAATGGAATGGCGCATGTATAGATGAAAGATCCGATATATGTGTGGGGCAAGACTGAAATTCATGGTTGCAAAGAACAGATCTGAATGAATTGCTTTCTGATAATCTCTGAATTTCCTTCCTTCGGTGGAAGAGTACAGCTTGATTAGAAGCTTAATAAACAGCTCTCATGTGGTCTTTCTATATTTGAATGAGGTGTCACTTTTACTGATTTCCATCGGCTCCTTTGTCCTTTATGACTGTCTGTAGACCTGTGTAGGTAAACTCTGTGAACAAGCTCACGGATACCACACGCTTCCTATGTGTTCTACTCGAAACACACGCATGTAACATGCTGCCCTGATAGTTTCCGCTTAAGATTGCCAACAAATGAATGTGCTTAATGTCTTTGCAACATAACGCGCGAAGCGCGTGGGCCATAAATCGAGCTGAAGAAACGAGGTTCCGTAACTTACAGTACGGACCGAGAAAAACGAGGTTAGTTAGATGTTTATTGTATGTCTTGGTTCAGATAGAAGGGGGAAAGACTTCAATTCAAGCTGAGCGGCCATCGATGATTGACGCGCGTCAAATCCTAAGTACGAGAGTATTTTACTGACTTCCACTAAAAACTGAACTTGGAGTCGTCAAAAGTTCAAAATATTCGTTTAATATTCATGGTTCTCAATAGTGCAAACTTACATGCAAAGAACGTTAAAGTATACAAAGCCTGCAAGAACTGTGATAAAACGTTGTGCAAGTAACTCGTTTGTCGAGTTTTTTTTTTCTAATGCCCGAAATCTGCAACGCACAACGTGTTTCTTCGTAGTAATCATAAGGATAAAAAACTTCTGATGTGTTCAAAATATATTAAAACTTACAAGAAAATATTTTAAATACTTTGGTATGATTTCGAGTTCATTGATTTGTCCAGCACTAATTTTGATGCGAAGTTAGGAGCTTGAAAAATGAGAAGAGGAAAACGGGCAGCCTCTTCAATTTCAATTAAATACAACGTGACACTGCACGGCAAAGTTACAATGACTAATTCAGGAAGATATTATAGAAATAGGAATTTCCTTTCCTTCTCCCAGTCGCTGATGTTATAAATATAAACCCTTACTTACAACAAGGTGAATTTTTACAAAACTTTAGAGCTTGTTTTGGATATTTACAGGTATACAATTAATTTTCTTGGCTCTGTCTTAAGTTTATGGGCACGAATGAAGCAAATTTTTAGCTATCACAACAAGCAAAACTTGTAAGAGCAGTTTTCTGTACATTTTACACTTCCGCTTTTTGTGTGTTTTTTCTCTGGTTATCGCTCTCGTTTACTTTTGAAAAACTGTTAAACATTTACAGGAATCGTTACTTCGTGCGAATTATTTCCTCGGCTTGAGCGTCCACAAGTTGCACTACGCCAGAACAAGACTACACTCCCTACGGTCGCAAGTACCAGGAGTGGTAACAACGCAAAAGTGATCACTTTGTAAGCATCGTCTTCTCGACTTTCATGTTTATCTGTGACACAAAAATGCAATTAATTCACATCGATTCATCTTTAGAGCGATAAAGGGCAGGAAACTGACTTGGTTTCAAATTTTCAAGAAGTTTATTGTTTTCTTAACCACAAAACGTCTTTACGATAGCCTGAAGTGAGGGAATAAACTTGGTTTACATATTTCTTTTTCAAGTCTTTGGGACGAAGCAGGAAAACCAAAATGAAAACCAAAATTAGGACTTTAAGAGCGCTTAACGAATTACGACCAAGAAAACGAGAAAAAAAGATACAAACTCAAAAGCAGAAACCAGAAGAAACAAAACAAAGTGAACCAAAATCGAAAGAAATTGAAAAACAACAACAACAACGAAAATAAACAAAATTTTGAAATTGAGACGCACCCATAATAATTCTGCGAGTAGTACTTGTTGGAGTTGACACTGTTGAACTTGGGAAATCTATAAAGAAAATGAACACGCACATAAAGAGAGAGATCAAATGAAGGATGTTAACTTGATTTGTAACGCAGCATTCAATGACTGTGCTTGGACTTTTTGCAGTACTAACATATCAAAAACACCGCACACTAACCATGTGTCAGTATATAATAATCTTGTAAATTAGATTGGAACAAGAAACTCACGGGAGCTGAATACATACAATGAGCTGTACATGTTCTATCATGAGTCCAAATAATAAACACCACTTTTATCACGAGTAAAACAAAAAAACAAGATTTATTTTAGTGTTTTGAGTTTTTGTTTATTCTTCTGTTTTTTTTCGTCTTGTCAATTCTTGAGGTGGCTTTTCGGTTTTTGATAACCAGTTATTTAACCAAATTAATTTAATGAAGTAAAGTGTTGGAAAATCAACTCGCTTGCTAGAATTAAAAAGTTGTCTAATGCCATTTCAATTATGACGTACACCTTTTATCTAAAAGACTCTTCGTCTCAGAATTACAGAATTTTAAAAAACTCACCGATGACAGTTACTTGCACTTCATAGCTATCACTTCCTAGTGGATTTTTAGCTGTGCAAATGTAGACTCCTTCGTCATCTTTGGTGATGTTTCTTCGCTCTAAACTTGTAGCTTCATCGTTCGTTCGATTCTGAAGCATTTGCATGCCAGGAAGTCGAAACCAGATCACCCGGGGAGAAGGAAAACCAATTGCTTCGCAGTCTAGGTGCAGATTCATTCCTTCGACCACCAAGAATGGTTGTGGACTTGTTATCCTAATTTTGGGCCTCTCTGACAAATATAAAACAAAGTTTTGGAAGCCTTAATCAATATGAAAAAAAAAAAGATTTTTTTATCAACCTGCGTTCTACTTATTTGTCTTCTACGTGCAATTGCGAATGAAAAAAGGAAGAAAGGGATTTAGTAGTCGAAGAGTAATTTTTCATGATAAGAACTTTATGTTTATGATCAAATCCCATCCCCTAAACAAACTCGTACCTCTCGCTATTTGAATAAGAGTGGTGTTTTCTCGCGTTCCCTGGTACCGAATTTGTCCAATGCACCAGACCACCATTCCGTCATACTTTGATGATATCTTCCGTACAATCAATGTTCCATTTAAGGTAAGTTTGTACTCCTCAGGGTAATAATTAAAGACGGTTCTTTTTTCTATCCGAGCGATTATGAATCTGTCCCTATCACTTCTGCATTGTGCCATCGTCGGGCACAAATACAAACCAAGGTCCGACTGGGGCTGACCTTCCGTGTTTATTGAGCAAGGTATGTGTACGTCCCTTGCATCGTTTTTAACAACGATCTGGTTCTCTGCATCATTGATATCAGATCCTGTCGAGGGAGTGTAGAGATAACAAAGGAAGTTAGCAACTGAAATTTCACCGAGCACTCTTGCGATTTCAATGGGAGAGGTCATAATTTTTCCTCGGGGGGAGGGGGGGGATTTTGGTTGTGTCAAAATAAAACTTACCTGATCCCCCGTAGGTCAATTTGCTACAGTAAACCTATAAACTCTGTTAGAGACGACTGATCCCCCACTATCTTCCCCATGAACACCATGTGATTCTCCTCAAAACATTCCCTTCCCCCAATGACAGGTTTCTAGAAACTGATAGAGGGCCAATTCTCTGTGGCTGGGAATCGTCTGTAGAATTTGTGTTATTTGATTAGCAAGCGATTGTTATATTTACTTTTAATGGCAATGAGGGGAAACCCCTTTCACGTAATCAGATCATCAGAAATCAATGTGAATTACCAGAATTTGTATTTCACAGATGATCAAGAAAATCAAGAACAGGATGCTTACAAAGTGAGAGAGCTCGCGGGGTATTTAGGGAACAAATTAAGCCTGTCTATGAACCTGTATTAATCGGCACCATACTAGCAAGTGAATGCTATATTTGCTTTTAATATATAGTAATGAGGGGAAACCCCTTTCACGGGATCAGTTCGTCACTCTTTGCCTTTGTTCGAGTATAATTTGAGAGTGCCATAAGTCTATTATTTTTTTGACTCTTAGCCTTCGGAACCCAATTTATCAGAAACGAAGCCCAGCTATGTGGATTGGAAATAGATATATTTGCGTTAGCATTTCATTAACGCCAAAATCAGACAGCGTAACCAAGTTGACAAGGTGCAATTATATTCCACAAGACAGTACAAATTATCTTGTATTTGAACAATGCCATCCACTCGTATAAAGAAAGAATCTTTTAATACCCTTTGTGCAAGATTAAATTTGTTGATTTCGAAATAAGAGGCTTCAAAGCATTTCTATAGTGAAATGCCAAAATAATGGGAGATGGAAATAGCTGGTTGGCGTGAAGAAACACGAAGGATACAAAATGCAGATCTTAGTATTACTGAGGGCCATTTTAGTGATTTCCCAAGTATATTAATGAACGTAGTTATTCAGAAATTGGTCCTCTTGAGTCCATGCAGAACTTTAGCTCTCTGAAATGTATCGGTTCTTCTGAAACAATTTCGAGGAATGTAAATCCCGTTGTTTATACGATTTACTTCCGCAAAATCAGTTACTATTTGTTTGACTTGAAAATGCCATTGTATTACAAAGGTGTAACTATTAGCAATTTGCCTTACTTACCTTCAGAACCGTAAGTTTCTCCTAGATGAGTGACAAACAAAAAGATACACAGCGAAAACTTCAGGATATCCATGTCTATGTCTCAAAAAAAGGTACAGTCGAATGAAGATTATGGTTTGTTGTTATCACGAGATTTCTATATCATGTCCTTTATTATGACGGAAGGAAAAAAAACCCGCTTCCACTTTAACTTTCACTTTCACCTCTACATTGGAGACGTGACTGCTAGCAATATCAGCAAGGTAAAGATAAAACAAAGGGTGGAACCCAAGAGTGCTTTTATTTCCACGTGGAATGGCCCACTACAGGTTGATCGCGTAATAGAGAAAAAATGGGGGAATCATAAACAACGACGAGAAAAAACTAAATTATATGCCATAATTTACCACTTAATGTCCCAAAACTAGCTGAAAATTTCTACTAACTTTGAGTTCGGGAGATAAACAAGGATTAAATTTTGCATCAAAGATTATTCTTAGAACTATTTCAGTGGTTCTGCTAGAAATGATCGTTCAATATATATAAGTGGAGGATAATACAAGCAGGCCGTTGTGACTCAGTAGAGGATGATCGATCACGTTTGCTTAATAGAGAGGAACGCTGAATTTAGGTCATGTGGGAATTTCGGTATTTTGAAAACCGCTCGCTAAAAGCAGAGCGACCACATAATGCAAAGCCGCTTAATACAGGCTTAATTTGTTCCCTACATACCCCCTGGGTCCTGGAAATCGATTTTTGTTCAATAACGAAGTGGCAGAGTACTCTAAATTTCACGCTCAGGCGTGATTTAGGAGGAGGAGGGCGAAAAAGTCGGCAGTAAATTGATTGCTGTCATACGTGATAGGGTTTTAAAATAGCCAGAGGCAGCTGTGAACTGTGCGAGGAGAATGTTCATTTAAAAAGACTTGACCTCGTCAATAAAGTCTGCCTTTGTTTGCGTAACGAACCATTTCTCTAGTATTTCCGCTTCATTATAATGTAAAAACTTCGATATTCAGAAGATTAAGTGTGTTAGATTTTTTAATAAAATGCCCACCTTCAAATTCGGGCTTAACTTCCTCCAGTAGGTTTATAGTTACCTCGCCGACAAAACTATCACGTTGTCGAAAAAAGTTGACTTTACGCTTTTTATTCTACCATAGGTCAGTAACTTTGCCATCGCAAACCCATTTTCCTATCACACTGAAAATTATATCAAAAGACGTCTTTATTTTTCTATTGGTTAAGGTTTGGAAAATATCGTATCAAACCTGTTGAGTTGTCAGTTCCCAGTTTTTTTCTTGATGCAGGGTATCTGCTTGCTGGAACAAAATATGGGTTGAATTGTCCATTTTGAACAGGAGTGAAGCTAAGTTTGAGCTTGTTATGATACCAACCTTGCTACTTTTCAAATGCAATTTGCTTTGTTATCATGTACGGAACAAATGAGGGAAAACCCCTGTCACGAAATCAGTTAATCACAATCGTATTTATCTTCTGCAAAAAGCCCAGCCAAGTTGACAAGGTGCAATTATATTCCACAAGAGAGTACAAATTATCTTGTATTTGAACAATGCCATACACTCGAATAAATAAAGAATCTTTTAATACCCTTTGTGCCAGATGAAATTTGCTGATTTCGAAATAAAAGGCTTTAAAGCATTTCTATAGTGAAATGCCAAAATAATGGGAGATGGAAATAGCTGGTTGGCGTAAATACGAAGGATACAAAATGGAGATCTTAGTATTGCTGAGGGCCATTTCAGTGATTTCCCAAGTATGTTGATGAACGTAGTTATTCAGAAATTGGTTCCCTTGAGTCCATGTAGAACTTAAGCTCTCCGAAATGTATCGGTTCTTCTGAAACAATTTCGAAGAATTCAAATCTCGTTGTTTATTTAGTAAACTTCCGGCACGACATGATTGTTTTATCGCAAGGTTTGTTTGACTTGAAAATACACACTGGCATATATTTTTTTACAAACGGCTACACCTATTAAGTTTCACCCTCTTCATCCGACGTCAACCACACACTCATGAGTTATTTATAAGAGTAGAAAGGTGTAACTTATAGCAATCTGCCTTACTGACCTTCAGAGCCGTACGTTTCTTCTAGATAAGCGACAAACAATAGGATGTACAGCGAAATCTTCTGCATATCCATGTCTACGTCTCAAAATAAGTTACTGTCGAATGAAGATTATGGTTTGTTGGTCTCAAAATTTCATTTCCTTTATTATGACGCAACAAAAAAACCCACTTTTACTTTCACTTTCACCTCTACTTTAGAGACGTGACATCCTACGTCTGTCAGCAATATCAGCAAGGTCAAGATAAAACAAAGGGTTGAACCCAAAAGAGTACTTTCATTTCCATGTGGAATGGCCCACTACAGGTTGACCGCGTAATAGAGGAGAAATGGGGAGATTTACAAACAACGACGAGAGAAAACTCATTTGTATGCTATAATTTACCACCTAATGTCCCAAAACTAGCTGAAAAATTCTACTAACTTCGAGTTCGGGAGATAAACAAGGATTAAATTTTGCATCAAAGATTATTCTTAGAACTATTCCAGTGTTTCTGCTTTGATTGATCGTTCGGTACAAGTAAAGGATAACACAAGCAGGCCGTTGGGACTCAGTAAAGGGTGATCGATCACGTCTGCTTAACAGAGATGAACGCTAAATCTAGGCCATGTGGGAATTCGCTATTTTGAAAACCGACCGCTAATAAGAGGGCAACCACATAATACGGTGCCGCTTAAAACAGGCTTAATTTGTTCCCTAAATATCCTTCTAGCACCTGGGAATCGATTTTTGTTCAATAAAAAAGTAGCAGAGTACTCTAAATTTCACGCACAGGCGTGATTTAGGAGAAGGAGGGCGGTCGGCAGTAAATTGACTGCTGTCATACGTGATAGGGTTTTAAAATAGTCAGAGGCAGCTGTGAACTGTGCGAGGAAAATGTTCGTTTAAAAAGACTTGACCTCGTCGATATAGTTTGCATTTTTTTGTGTGTTTAATGAACCATTCCTTTAGTATTTCCGTTGCGTTGTAATGTAAAAACTCCGATATTCAGAAGATTAAGAGTGTTTTTTTTTTAATGAAATATCCACCTTTAAATTCGGGCTTTACTTCCTCCAGTAGGTTTATAGTTACTTCGCCAACAAAACTATCACGTTGTTGAAAAAAAGTTTATTTTACACTTTTTATTCTACCTTGTACCATGGGTCAATAACTTTTCCATCGCAAACCGATTTTCTTACCACGCTGAAAATTACGTCAAAAGCCGTCTTTATTTTTCTATCGGTTAAGGTTTGTGGGATATCTCATCAAACGTGTTAAGAGTTGTCAGTTCCCAGTTCCTTCTTGATGCAGGGTGTCTGCTTGCTAGATCAAGAATACGGGCTCAATTGTCTATTTTGAACTGCAGTGAGGCTAAGGTTGATCTTGTTATGATACAAACCTTGCTGCTTTTCAAATGCAAATTTGTTATCATGCTAACTAGATACCGATCTGGCACAATATTTCCAAGGTCGACGCCAAAAATGCTGGAATACGTTGCAGAGTCATTAACTATTCAGTACGGATTAAGTCCATCTCACGTCTCCTTTCAAGATGCAGATACCTCAGAAAGTTTTGGTGGTTTACAACATAAGTACTAACTGTAAGTACTAGCCTTGTTTTTGATTGGAAAGTCATACCTCGATTGCGCTGGTATGACATTCCTAGAGGTAAAAGGATACCAGTGATCAATGTATTTGATCTTAAGTCTGAGTGCCGCTAATACTTTAAAACATTGAAATTAAGGTCTGAGTTCATCACAGAGGACGTCGACATGTGGTAAAAACATTAGTTATGCAATCGCCTGCACTGAAATGACACTTTTTTTTCACACTAACGATCTCACGTCATAAGTGCGCGATGTCTGAACAGACAGACGGATAAATTGAATCTATTTATCAAGAAACGGCATTTCACTGTATCTCAGCCACTAAAAAGATAGTTTTTTTAAATTTGCTGATTTCCGCGTTATGAGAGTCCAAGGAGTAACCTCTGAAAATTGTCTTAAAATTTGTTAACGTACTCTACCACATGGTCGCCAGTCTGAATCTTGCGTAGCTACCTTGCCATTTACCTGCAATGTAGAAAAAATTAGAAACCCTCACCCCTCTTTATCAATCCTCCAGACGATCTGTTTGAATAACTAGGAGCTACAAGACATTCTTGACTCAAATGACCAATTTTTTGAAACAACCAGAACATCAGCTGCTTACGAACCGCGTGCTGTGCAGAAGCGAATATGGCCAGGTTACCAATTTTTTTCAAAATGGCGGCATCAAATTTTGGCACATTTGAGGAATTTGAATTTTCGGTTTTGCAGTTTTGGTTAATTTTAGATCGGTTTTCCGTTTTGGTGTTCATTGCAGTTTGGGTATTTTCCGTTTGAAAGCATTTGATTATCAGTATTCGTAAAAATCACAAATGGGTTTTCAGATTTGGTATCCGATGTGATTTTGGATTTTTCCTATTTTGGTTCCGGTTTTCTTTCGATCTGAGAGGCAATTATGATTTTGAATAGCTGCAAAATCTCTGTATGCACCACTTGTCACTGACTGTATCGGATCGATTAGAGTTTTGATAACTGGGATGTGAAAATTCATTGGCTTTGACAGTTGTGAACCAATTTTTTGTGGTTTTGCGGTTTTAGATGATTTTTTTTGGGGGCTTTGCGGGTTCTAATAAACCCCACTGCCCCCATCTATTTAGAGGGTGGCAAAGGGAAGGTTCCAATGGCACATCACGCTGAATTTTTCTATTAAATCACTCATCACGGAGAATTATTTTAAAATAATCACGCGTCACGTAAAAAGGAGTAAGTACGCTAAGCTAATACTGTAAGATTTCAACCTATCGAATGTATTTTTAAAAATCATATTGCATCCAACGTTTTTTATTCTGGAATGAATTGTGTTCCACTAGTCATATTGCTTTTTGCTAGACAAATAAAGACGACTTACTTGTTGAAACTAGACGCTCTAAGAGCGTTTAATTGGGCTTCGTATCGTACAACCGTTTGGGTCGACATTCTTTCAGATCTTTTATTCCATGGATTCGGTTACTTTCTGGTCTTTCTGCATACGATCTGAAGCACCACCACGACCACGCAGTCGACAAAAAGAACACTGAAGGTCAGATTCCTTGCGCAAATTTTAACTATACTAACTTAGCCTGATTGTCTCACAATTGTTTGGACCTACCACGAAGATTAAGGACATCAAAGTCAAGCAAAGGTCAGCAAAGGTCACCTACCACGGAAATCTAATTAGTAAGTCTTGTAAATCACGCGTCATGCGCATGTAAAATAGTAAATCACGCATCACATTGTGAATTTTGAGTCATCACGTGTCACGTAATTATTTAGTATCTGGCGCAAATATCCCTTTTAAATATAAATAGAGACGTCTTAATTTGGCACTAAATGTAAGATTCGAGGCATCAGTTGAGTGATTTTCACGAGTTTCTTCCACCGTCTCCTTAGGATGTGAAACAATGGACGTGGGTTCCTGAACTTTATTCGTCGGGGCTAATTGAGAGGTGGTATTTAGTAACTGCGACAACAAAAAAAGAGGGGTTCTGACAGGGAAAGAGAGCAATTTCCCAATAAGGCTTAAAAACCGTTGACTCTTGCGAACACAGCGGCCATGTACAACATCCTTTCCGTCCTCTGAAAAGAAAAACTCCCAATCTCCATTTCCAGCTTGAATGATAAACTCTTTACCTGGCTGCGATATAATGAAGGCAGCGTTTGTTAGATCAGCGCACATGTCATCTGCGTTCGAGGTGAATGAGATAGCAGCTCGCAGAAATTTTAAGGTTGTCTGGTCATCTTCACTTAGATTTCCATGCTGTCCTTCTGTTCCGCATCGCTTTACGATCTCTTTACCGAGAACTGTAGGTGATATTTTATCAACTCTTACAATCACGTTGCTTGGGTAATCCTGGTATGTAAAGAGCGAATAAAATGCTTTTAGTAGCCAGCAAGATTCTCAGGACTGAATTCTTAAGCCATTTTTCCCCACCTTTCTTTTTCTTTCTTTTTCTTGTATTCAGCTTTCTACGTATTTGTTCAAGCGTGAAACACGCAAGTTTGTGTACACAACGTCACATTACCGTGTTTATGTTTCTGCACGTACACACTACCTTTAATCAAGATTTATTTTCCGTCAAATCCTGTTAAACATCGTTTGCAAAGCTTTCTCACGCGCTCAAATTAAATTCGATGCTTGACAGTGGTGCGACAGTTTGTCTACGCAAAGTTGTATACTTCACTCTTGAACAAACAACGAAAAATTGAGCCGTTCACTACGTTTTGTTAGGAAACGAATTGCCGCCACAAAACTTGTTGATCAAATTAAAGATTCTGATCCCGAAATTTAGTAGTGACAGCCTGGGAAAAAATTAGCCTTAATAAAAGCGTACGAATTTACCCTGAAAGCTGAAAAATTATTTTGAACCCTGATAATTAAAACAGGGAATCTTTAAAAGCGGGGAATCTTTAAAAGCGGGGAATCTTTAAAAGCGGGGAATCTTTAAAGGCGGGGAATCTTTAAAAGCGGGAACCTTTAAAACGGGAAATCTTTAATAGCGGGAATCTTTAAAACGAAGAATCTTTTAAAGCGTGGAGTGAAATCGACCAAATGTATAAGCGGTCTGTAAAAAAGTTGCCCTCTTGAGTCGCGGGAATTCATCAAAGATTACCATTTAAAAGATTCCCGCTTTTAAAGATTCCCCGTTTAAAAGATTCCCCATCCCCCATTCTCCCATTCCCCCATTCTCCCATTCCCCCATTCTCCCATTCTCCCATTCTCCCATTCCCCCATTCTCCCATTCTCCCATTCTCCCATTCCCCCATTCTCCCATTCCCCTATCCTCCATTTCCCATTCCCTCAATCTCCTGTTCTCTCAATCCCCTGTTCCCTCAATCCCCCATTCCCTCAATCACCCATTCCCTCAATCCCTCAATCCCCCATTCCCTCAATCCCCCATTCCCTCAATCCACCAGTCCCCCAATCCCTCAATCCACCAGTCCCCAATCCCTCAATCCTCCATTTCCACATTCTCCCATTCCCCCATTCTCCCATTCCCCCATTCTCCCATTCCCCCATTCTCCCATTCCCCCATTCTCCCATTCCCCGTTCCCTATTTTAAAGATAGTCGTCTTCAAATCGTGGAGTTAAGTCAGACAACCGTAACATTACTGAGGCAGCTGACTTTTTTGTCCTTTTTGTGGCTATCAGGGTTTTTCCCTATCATAATTGACTCTAATTTTGATTGAACCGAAACTCACGTCTCGAGAAAAAGCAAATGATCAATTCATGAAAGCGTCACGCGTTGTGTGACTGGGTGTTACGTTACAAGTGGAACAGTTGAGAATTTGAACACGTTATGAGGAATAGTATGGGGAACGGAATATGGTCGATTTACATCGATAAATATTTCGAAAGTTCGAAGTTCGTCTTTTGACAGGAATGACAGTGATGGAAAAGCAAGCTTTAAACGGCAGAGATCGCCAGAAACCACAGCGAACACACAAGATGAGAGTACGTGTAAAATGTTTATATTTTGAAATATTTATCGTTGTAAATCGACCATATTGTCCAGGTCCACAACGATGACAAACGATCGAGATATGACCACTACGGTATCTCAGCTTCTCAATTTTAAAACAGCCATGAGAGGTCTAAGGGCTAAGATCATTATATTTTTTATTCCATACGCGGTTTGAATTACTGCATCTTGTTAAATATGGAAATGCATTGGGTAGCTGCGGAGCACTCTTTTACGATCTCAACTCTTGACTCGCAAGAAATTACAGTTTACCACAGGTGGCCTAAAGTCATTTTGCGAGGCGAATCAGCTCGTGCACAAGACTCCTGCTACGAATGATGTTGACTTAAACCTGTTTTAAACTTTGCATTCTGGATATGGGCCAAATATAATCCCGACTCGAGTAGGCTCTGGTGAAATAAGAAAACATTCCACTAAATTGTATGATGTCTTTGCATTGTCGGAAATGAGACTAGAGAGTCTGCTATGATCCGAAACCTCATGTTTTAATTTGTTATAAATCAACTTGGTTTCCCACTCTCTCACACCTTTCAAGTCTCACGCTCTGGTCTCTCTCATTTTAAATATATAATACGATCCTATTGCTCAATCATCTGTCATTCATCGCGAAAAATCAACCGGAAATCAATTAACGCTGATAATCTCTCACAGCATAAAGAAAATGACTTTTCTAGGCTTACTTTGTTATAGAGAAATGTCACAATAAATTAAAGTTATGTTATAAAATTTGTTATTGTTATAAAATGGCGTATAAATATTACAAACGATCCATTTACATATGAAAATTTTGAGCACTGGATCACTTATAACAGCTTCAATCTAGGGCTCGATCACTTTAAACGTAGCAGTGAAATTTAAAACTACCCAAAAATGATAGAAACACCAACATTTGCATTCTGCACATATGATAAAACATTGTATGAATTGAGAACTGCACTAGGAGGCCTTCCATTTGATTGTATGATGTTTATCAATGACGTGAAAATGTTAGATGATATAATAGTTGATTCGTGTCCAAATGTTAATAAATAGAGTGAAAATTTTACAAGACTTTTGATTGATTTCATTTATAAGCTAACTCTTTTATTTTGTCCTCAATTCTATCCTTAATTTGTTTCCAAACAATTTTTTTGGTTAATTATTAATGTATTTATTTTTAGATAATTCAATACTATTATAATTTCCGACTCTCAACAACTTACAAATTTTTCGAAAAATATAAATTATGCTGATTATTCTCTCACGATTTTTATTTTGAATAACATCTTGTCAATCTCTTCAAATATTTGATGAGTTTGCCATTTCTTTTGTTGACTTCATTATATAAATTTTGATTTTAAAAATCACCTCATGGATTCTACATGTTTTTTTGATAAATACTCTTCTTTTGAATTTTGTAACCATTTTCATGATAGCCAATATATTTTGATGCATCTTTACAACCATGACCCAGACCACATCCATTACAAACGTACTAGTCATTATAAAAAATCATCTCCATTTTATAACCACATGGTTCTCTTCTGAAATTATTGACATAATTTTCTATGCCTTTCAAACAAAACGGACAGTTAATTTATCCATTTTCATTGATTATTTCATCGTCTATTTCAAAATTGCAATTATTGTAGCTCATATAATATGATGAGATTCTTTTTTAATATATCAAAAAATGAAATGAGATTACAAGATAATCACCATGAATAAAAAAAAATTTTGGTGATTTTGGATGAAATCACAAGATGAATTATTTTATGAATACTATAGATTAGGATTTTTCAAAATTGCAATAGATCATATAATATGATGACATTATTTTTTTCATACATTATAAAATAAAATGTGATCATGAGATGATCACCTTTGATGAAAAAGTTTTGGAACTAGTTTTGAATTTTTTTCAAATATATAGTTTGACCTCTGAATCATCATCGTGGGGGGTGAAATGGGTGATCTGAAATTGGGTGTGAGAGATCGCCACGACAGCCACGCATTGGTAGCTGCTCAGCATTCTTTTACGACCTCACTCATGACTTGCAACAAATTACAGTTTGCCGCAGGTGGCCTAGGGTCATTTTACAAGACGAATCAGCCCATGCACACAACTCCTGCTGCGAATGATGTTGACTCCAGCTTGTTTTAAACATTGCATTTTGCATATGCACCAAATGTAATCCCGACTTGTCTGGTGAAATGAGAAAACATTCCACTAAATCGTATAATTTCTTTGCATGAGGAAAATCTCTTTTCTAGGCTTACTTTTGTAACAGAAGTATTGTTGTTGTTGAAGAGAAATGTCACGATAAAGTCACAGGTAGAGGATCTTAATTCCGATTTCCTTCTCATCGCCGATCTCATCAGTATGCTGGACTAGCTTCTAACGCATTTCCGTGGTTAAGGCACCATGGGAAGGTCTGACGTTCAAATTCTGAACGAAGTCTCAGATTATTTTTTCAGGTTCCTAGCTTGCTCGTTTTGAAATAAAGTGCATATTTTCTTATGGTATTCTATTGAGGGGTTGCCGAGCTACCCTCGGAAATCTCCACCACTTACGAGTTTAAGTTTACTCGAAGGATTGGGCATCGATCGCGCATGATGTTGAGTTGATGAACTCGGTAAAACTGAAAACTTCCCTTGACTTTCAAGAAGAGATTGACGACAGTTTGATATCGAAACTCGTATCGACCAAGTCGGCTAAAGGATTCATTGAGACAATGGGGCTTAGTTTAAAGCTCCTTAGGTCCATATATGTCAATCACAGTTTCGCGAAGACGACGAAAATTTAACTTACTGAAGAGAAGAAGTCCAATTCAAAAGGAACAAATTTCGTTGAATTTCATCACTGGATTATTTACAGTTTGATTTCTTAATCGGAGATAAAGAGAGAGTTATACTTACTGGTAACATTCTATTGTTATTAATGATATTTCCCATTGTGCCGTCTTTGAAAGCTCGAAGAAACTCACGAAGACCAGACGAAATGGCGAACAATAGTGCCATATTCAGCTGGAACACACTAAACATGTCATTTATATACAAACGAAATGTCCTTGTATGTTACTTAATTTACATGAAATATCGTTACACCTCTAACCGTTTCCGGCTAACTCAGGACAAACAGCTTGGCTAAATCCCTGCGTGAATCACGATTTGCAGCTTTTGGTCCAGAAGCGTTTGTGATCGGAGAGGCTGTCTGTAGATCATGTGGTCAAGTCAGACATTGTATCGTCTTTGATATCAAAGACTTTTGATATTTAGCATTTTGCCAGTAAGTATAACTCTCTCTTTAGCTCCGATTAAGAGATCAAACTGTAAATAATCTGTTCATGAAATTCAAGGAAATTTGTCCCTTTCGAATTGAACTTCTTCTTTTCAGTAAGCTAAATTTACAATTAGACAACCTCAATATTATATGAGCTATTGCAATTTTGAAATACACGATGAAATAATCAATGAATATGGACATATTTACTTTCCGTTTTGTTTGAATGGCATAAACGATTATGTCAGAAATAACAGAGGAGAACCATGTTGTTATGAAATGGAGATGATTTTTTATAATGACAAGTACGTTTGTAATGGACGTGGCCCGGTTCATGGTTATAAAAATGCATCAGAATATATTGACAATTATGAAAATGGTTACAAAACTCAAAAGAAGAGTATTAATCAAAGAAAGTATACAGGCAATGAAGTGATTTTAGAAATCAATATTGTAACTAACAAAGGAAGATGGAAAACTCATCAAATATTTAAAGAGTTTGACAAGATATTATTAAAAATGGGAATCAAAAGAGAAGAACTAACAATTTTATTCTCTGAAAATCTTTTTTAAAATGTTGAAAATCAAAAATTGTAATAGTATTGAATTATCTAAAAAATAAACACAATAATAAACCAAAAAATTGTTTGGAAACAAATTTTGGATAGAATTGTGGACAAAATAAAAGAGAGAGCTTATATATGAAATCATTAAAAAAATCTTGTCATATTGTTCATTGTAGTTATCATTATTTGGACATTGATCAACTATTATATCGTCTAACATTTTCATGTCATTGATAAACAATATATGATCAAATGGAAGGCCTGTCAGTGTTGCCTTCAATTCATGCAATGTTTTGGCATATGCACAAAATGCAAATGTTATTGTTTCTATCATTTTCGGGTAGTTTTTAACTTCCAAATGAAATTTCAAAAGAATTAAAAAAAGATGACACGCTCACGATCACTGCTACGTTTAACGTGATCAAGCCTGAAATTGCAGCTGTTATAAGTGATCCAGTGCTCAAATTTGTCATAAGTAAATTTCATTGTTTGTAATATTTATACGCCATGTTATATTAGTAACACAATTTATAATATAACTTTATTGTGGCATTTCTCTACAACAACAACAATACTTCTGTTGCAAAAGTAAGCCTAGAAAGCCATTTTCTTCATGCCAAGACATTATGCGATTTAGTGAAATGTTTTCTCGTTTCATCGGAGCTGACTCAAGTTGGGATTATATTTGGCGCATATATCCAGTATGCAATATTTAAAACAGGCTTGATTCAACATTATTAGGAGCATGAGTCATGTGCATGTGCTGATTCACCTTGTAAAATGACTCCTGGCCACCTGTGGTAAATTGAATTTCTGTGGGTCATGAGTTGAGGTCGTAAAAGAGTGCTCAGCAGCTACCCAATGCATTTCCATATTTAACAAGATGCAGTAATTCAAACCACGTATGCAATAGAAAATATAATGATCTTAGCCCTCAGACCTCTCATAGCTGTTTTAAAATTGAAGAGCTGAGATATCGCAGTGATCATATCTTGATTGTTTGCCCTCTTTGTGGACTTGAAGAAATTCGATTCCTGAAAAGACTTGGTACAGCACGTGGGTTGAGTGTCTTTCCCCTTTTTTTTCCCTTGGCCGAATGGTTCTCAGGATGTTTATCTATGATTATTGAAAATTTCAAGGGTTTCCAAAATAATTAAAAATCAGAGTGAAGAAAATAACTGTTTCCCTTTTCATTTCCTTCCCCCCTGGTTTTCTTAAGACATTTATGTACTATTATTTAAAATTTCAGGGATTCCTAGAAGAATTAATAATCAAAGTGAAGAAAATAAACCCACATATTGTTGCAGAGAAGATTGAATCGCTACAGAAAGGAAATGCATTTTTAAGTCTCAGTGAATTCGACCAGATGCAAGTCAAATTTTTAAAAGAGGCCATCCAATCTCTTTCCACAAGCATTGGATGATAGAGCCGATCTTGAAAATGAAGCTTTCATATTTGCCCCGCCAGGCACCCAGTTGGTCATCATATCTGGAAAAGGTGATTGGGAATACTATTTTTCCCAGCACAATAACAACAAAATAACCGGTAGATGTAACAGCAAGCCTTGGGAGTACTATGTGAGGGACGGGGTCAAATTCACTTTTTGTAAAATCCCTCAACTCTTGTCAACTGAACTTTCAGTTGTCGAAAGAGTAAAAAATTTAATGAATGCTTTTGAAAATCTTCATAAAACGTAAAAGTAATTAGTTGCATACATAGACGAATAAACATTTCTTATTAGCATATTGGCCTCGTTAATTGAAGTAAACTATTAATTGAATTAATTGAAGTAGAACTATTCAAAGACGCATATTTCTTGTTAAAATAATGAAACATTAAAATGCTCTGACTTTGCCCGAAAATGTCAGAAGTTGTATTTCTCAGGTTTTTTTATTTCGAAATTTTTTGGAAATTTCGTTTGTATATAAATATACAAATTTGTTTTGTTTTGTGTGTGGGTTTGCAGCTGATTTTAGATATCTGAATAGAGGGTGTTAAGTTTTCAAAAGAAACTGTGGTGCTGCGTCGGTGGAGAGTATAACAAGTACTTTAGTGTTAACAAATTTTCGGTAAAAAGTAAAAACACGAAGTTCTATGGATATTACATCTCTTTTTACTTTCATTCCCAATGACGAAGGTCTCCGGGCCCTCAGACATTTTTTCGATCATCGCACTGTTAAGGAACCTAGCTCTGAAACACTTCTCCGTTTTGCAGAACTAGTACTTACACTCAATTGCTTTTCATTCGGTGGTAAGTACCACAAAAAAACTAATGGCGTGGCCATGGGTACTAAAATGGGACCCAGCTACGCCAAAATGTTTTCGTAAGTTTTATCAAACATCAATTTTTTAGTCAATACCACGGCCCTAAACCTGAACTCTACGGCCGTTACATTGACGACTGCATCGGCTACTTCCGCTACCAGAGGGGAGCTCACTCAATTTATAGCCGCCGTCAGTTCCTTTCACCCGGTTCTTAAATATACCTGGGAAATTTCTGAGACTTCTTTGGCTTTTCTAGACAACAAAATTTCAAAGGAAGGCAACGGTTTATGCACTAGTGTTTATAGTACTACAAACCTACAGATTCACATAGTTACTTGTTGTATTCAACTTCACATCCATCACACGTCAAGAACTCCATACCTTTTTCACAGTTTCTCAGACTTCGTCGTTTATGTAATGACGACTCTGATTTTTCCGTAATGTGTCAGTTTTTCGATTAACGTGGCTATCCTGTTTCTGTTGTTCAAGCGGGACACCACCGTGCCCAGCAAATTGATCGACAGGCAGCACTACAAACGGCTGAGAAGGAAAACACTGATCGCATTCCATTCATTCTCACATTTTACCCTCACAACCACGCAGTTAAATCTGTGATTCTTAAAAAATTTAAATTACTCCAAAACGATTCAGAGACTGGTACTATCTTTTCGTAACCCCAACTCATTTTCATTCAAACGTGACAAAAACATAGGCAACGTTTTAATCAGAAGTTCATTTCAAAACAATGACTAACCTGGAACTTTCAAATGCGCTCGCGATGCAAAACTTGTCCTTTCATTCATAACATAGAGAAAATATCGGGACCCAAGAGATCCATTAAGATCACTGACCACTTTACGTGTACCTCCGCCAATGTCCTTTACTGCATGACTTGCACTTATTGGAATAATTTATACATTGGTGAAACAGGAAGACGACTAGGTGACCGATTCCGAGAATACCTTCGCGACGTAGAAAGAAATGACAAGGACGCATCCAAACCAGTCGCTAGACACTTTAATCTCCCTAATCATTCTAAACAACACACGGCAGTTCGCGGCCTTTCCTTTCATTTAAGCAGTTCGGAAAGCCGCAAAACACTAGAACAAAAATTTATTTTCCAAATCGGCACTCTAAAATCCCCACGGTATCAACTTTATTCAACTAATTTACTCTTGTTTTCTCGTCACCATATCCCCACCAATAGCGTAGTTCCATTTTCTGCATATAAACCCACACACAACCCATAATTCGTCCAATCGCTCTGAAGAAGGGACCACCGCTTGAGATGTAAGCCTTTAAACTCTTTAAGGTGGCCAATTTACGTTTTCAACTCTATTGTAGATATCTTCTGACTTTCTTGAGTTTCTCCAAGCTATGGATACAAAGGAAGATAACAGTGGTGAGAAGGGACTGTTAAAAGTAAGCATAACTCTTTCTTTAGCTCCGATTAACAGATCAAACTGTAAATATTCTGTCGATAAATTCAAGGAAATTTACCCCTTTCGAACTGTACTTCTTCTTTTCAGCAAGTTAAAGCCTTATTGTCTCAATTGATCCTCGGTTGCTTAAGCTAACTTGGTCGATACGAGTGTCGATATTTGATTTCAAATCTCCTCCTGAAGTCAAGGGAAGTTTTCCATTTTACCGAGTTCATGCTATCATGCTATCTATTGCGCGATCGATGCCCGATCCTTCGAGTAATCTTGAACTCGTTAGTGGTGGAGATTTCCAAAGGGAAACTCGGCAATCCCTCGATAGAATACCACAAGAAAATATGCACTTTATTTAAAAACTAGCAAGCTAGGAACCTGGAAAAATGGCTTACTGTAATTTGTGAAACGAAACGAAATGAAAAATTTATGATTTGCGAGATGGAAATATGCTAATGATTTGCAAAATAGAAATCACGAATTACAGAATTTCATTTCGCAAATTACATATTTCTTTCATGGCTGTTTTAAAATTGAAAAGCCGAGATATCGCAGAGATGATATCTCGATCGTTTGCCTTCGTTGTGGACCTGAAGAAGTTCTATTCCTGAAAGAACTTGGTATTGCACGTGGTTCGAGCGAGTTTCCCTTTTTTAACTCGTGAGTTGCGCGCATGTGAAAGAGCGAGTTATAGATACGATGTAGGGAATAGCACTCGCTCGCTCGCTCGATTGGTCGACTCCTGTAAACTTTTTTTCGATTTTAGGCTTTTGAGTGAATGTGATAGTTTTTGGCAAGCAATAAACAAACGAAATGGCGACCTTTGTTGCTAAGAATAGTGGTGGGGCGAAAAAGAAGCCAATGATAATCTTAAAAGAGTGTTTTTTTTCGTTTTAGCTCAACAAGCGGCGCCAGCGACTGGCAGGCATGCAAGGATTCACACTGAAATAACAGAACAACCTTCGTTTTTCATAAAATTGTAATTCACAATCCTTGAACTTGAAAACCATCCGAAGATTCATTGAAAATATCACTTACTTCGAAGCGCACGGAGTTTACAGATGTTCAAAAGCTTTTTCTGTTATGGCGTGAGATTAAGGACAAAATCGATCATTACGTTTCGTATCGTGTGTTTTTCCTGTGTGAAGCAACAAAAGATGCCGGCGACTGACGAAATTACAAGTTAACACGAAAATCAAATAACACCTAAACAAACAATTTTAGCTACCGATTTTCAGTAAATTTTTAACGAACAATTTTCTTTTAAGTTTCAAGGCAATTTGAAGATTCAAAATACATATTACGTACTAAAATACGAAAGTTATACACCACAAAATTGATAAATAGGCCTGAAATGAAATTCTATCTTGTTATTGATTATACGTTGCCTAGCACGTGACTAAAATCTACCCAGGCGGAGATCCAAAATGACGGTGGCAGTCTTGGCTTATTTATATCACTCAAAACTCGTTCCTTTTTGTCTCATTTGATAAAGAGGGAATCGTTAATGTTTTCATTAAGACAGTATTGCCTTGATTTTCTAATATTTACAATGATAGACAGTAAATTCCACTTTTCACCCACATTTACTTCCAACCTTTTCTTTTGAACCAGAAACAAAAATGATATACGTTTAAAACACATGACATCATCTACCCTTGTCAAATGTAATAGCATTATCATTTCAATTGTATTGCCTTCTTATCCCAACGTTACTTTGTTTCTTTGCTACATTAGCGAACACTGAACTACTGCTCGTACTCTAGATACGACAATCAACCATAAAATTTCCTAAACAGATAACATTAAACATAATCCAAAAAATCATGCGTCAATTCACGAGTTTGCTCATAGAGCACTTTGATTTTTCCTTGGCCCGATGGTTTTCTAAGGATTTTTATCTACGATTATTGAAAATTTCAGGGTTTTCCGGAAGAATTGAGAATTAAAGTGAAGAAAATAAGTGTTGCCCTTAGTTTTTCTTCCCCCAATGGTTCTCTTAGGATATGTATGTATTAATATTTAAAATGTTCAGGGGTTTCCGTGGGATTAAAAATCAGAGTAAAGAAAATAAGTGTTGCCCCTTTTCTTTCTTCCCCCAATGGTTTTCTTATGATATTTATGTACTATTTTTTAAAAATTTCAGGGGTTTCCTGAAGAAGCAATAATCAAAGTGGAGCAAATAAACTCATATATCCTTGGAGAGAAGATTAATTCCCTGCAGAAAGGAAAAGCATCCTCAAATCTCAGTGAATTTGACCAGACGCAAGTCAAATTTTTAGAAGCAGCCATCCGTTCCATTCCACAAGCATTGGATGATGAAGCTAATCTTGAAAATGCAGTTTTCATCTTTGCCCTTCCAGGCCCCCAGTTCGCCCTCAAATCTGGAGCAGGTGATTGGGAATACTATTTTTCCCAAGACGACAACAACAAAATCACCATGAAATGTACCAGAAAGCCTTTGGAGTTTCCGGAAGAATCAACAATCGAATTGGAGGAAATAACCCCAGATGTCTTTGGAGAGAAGATTTATTCCCTGCAGAAAAAAAATGCATTCTCAAGTCTCAGTGAATTGGACCAGACACGAGTCAAATTTTTAAGAGAAGCCATCCATTTTATTCCACAAGCATTGAATGATAGAGCTAATCTTAAAAGTGCAATTTTCATATTTGCCCTTCCAGGCCGCCAGTTCGCCTTCAAATCTGGAGCAGGTGATTGGAAATACTATTTTTCCCAAGACAACCACAACAAAATCACAGTGCGATGTACCAGAAAGCCTTGGGTGTACTATGTCTGGGACTGGATCAAATTCGCTTGTAGTATAATCCCCCGAATCTTGTCAGATCTACTTTCATCTTCCACAACAGTTAAAAATTTGAAGAATTTATTCTCACCCGTCAGTTAAAAATTTATCGAACGCTTCTAAAGACATCCTGAGAAAGAACGAGTAACTAGCTGCATACTTAGATGGATAAACATTTCTTATTATCATATTGCCCTGTTAATTGAAGTGTAAATATATTAATTGAATTAATTGAAGTATAACTATACAAAGATGCACATTTCTAGCTAAAAACATAACTTTTTAAGTGAAAATTTTGGTGAAAAACACAATCTGAAAGAGAGTTCTTTGCCACTTCAGTATATGCTAGGTATGTACTCTACATTATATATTCTTGACCAGGTCACTTAACAATATTGAAGAATATAGAGATGTGTAAACTAAAAGCAGTAAATAATCATGTTACATTTTAGCAAGTTGCCAGCAGATCTATGGAAAATTCCACATACACATATCTGGATCTAATGAAACACTAAAATGCACTGAGTTTGCCCTTAAATGTCAGAAGTTGTGTTTCTCAGGTTATTAATTTCGAAATTTTCCAAAGAGGAAATGTGTTTCACAACCACCCTACTGACAACCATCTTCATTTACACCAAATCTTGGATTTGCCAGTAGATTCGCTATGCATCAGTAAAATGTCAGATTATGTCTTAGTCATATGCAATGATAACTTACATTTTCACAGTTAATATACTGTAAACTGGCTTTTAAAGGTCTTTTTACAGGAAAGTTTCCCACATCACAAAGAGTCATCAAAACGAATTTTTCCAAGCCTTGGTCAATCAAATTGGAGTCAATTATGATAGGGAAAAACCCAGATAGCCACACAAGGGAAAAAATAGCCAGCTGCCTCAGTAGTGTTACGGTTGTCTGACTTTACTCCATGATCTACAGAGAGCCTCTCCTATCACGCTTTTGGACCAAAAGCTGGAAATCGTGATTCTCGCAAGGATTTGGCTAAGCGGTTTGCCATGAGTTAGCCGGAGGCGGTTATGGATATAACGATATCTCGTGTAAAGTAAATGATCTCTTAGGACATTTCGTTTGTTTATAAATGACACCTTTAGTTTGATCCAACTGATTGCAGAGTATATATTGTATGCCATACATGAAGTCTATGATATGAATGTTGCTGGCCATTTTGACGTTTACATTATGTATCGATTGTGGAGCTATTGTTAGCCATTTCGTCTGGCTTTCTTAAGTGTCATCGAGCTATGGAAGACGATATAATGGGACATATGACTAACAGTAGAATGTTACCAGTAAGTATAACTCTCTCTTTAGCTCCGATTAAGAGATCAAACTGTAGATAATCCATTGATGAAATTAAAGGAAATGCGTCCCTTTCGAATTGGACTTCTTCTCTTCAGTTAGTTAAGTTTTCGTCAACTTTGCGAAACTGTGGTTGATAAATATGGACCTAAAGAGGTTTAAACTAAGTCCCATTGTCTCAATGAATCCTCGGTAGCTTAAGCGGACTTGGTCGATACGAGTTTCGACATCAAACTGTCATAAATCTCTTCCTGAAAGTTAAGGGAAGTCTTCCGTTTTACCGAGTTCATGCTCTCAACATCATGCGCGATCAATGCCCGACCCCCCATGTCCTGCGACAGAATACCATAAGAAAATGTGCACTTAATTTAAAAAGAAGCAAGTTGAGAACTTGAAAAATTATCTGAGACTTCGTTCAGAATTTGAACGTCAGACCTTCCCATGGTACCTTAACCACGGAGCTGCGTTAGAAGCTAATCCAGCATACTGATAAGATCGGCGATGAGAAGAAAATTGGAATTAAGATCCTCTAACTGTAACTTTATCCTGACATTTCTCTTTAACAACAAAAACACTTCTATTTCAAAAATGAGCCAAGAAAAGCCATTTTCTTTATGCAAAGACATAAAGCGATTTAGTGGAATGTTTTCTCATTTTACCAGAGCCAACTCAAGTTGGGATTACATTTGGCCCATATCCAGAAAGCAATGGTTAAAACAGGCCTAAGTCAACAGTTTTCGTAGCATGAGACATGTGCATGCGCTGATTCGCCTCATAAAATGACTAGGCCACCTGTGGTAAACTGTAATTTCTTGCTTATCAAGATTTGAGATTGTAAAAGAGTGCTGAGTAGCTATCAAATGCATGGCTGTCATGAAGGTTTCTTACATCCAATTTCAGATCACCCATTTCATGGCTCACCATTATGATTCAAAGAAAGGTCAAACTGTATAATAAAAAAAAATTCAAAACTATAGTTCCACAAAAAGTTAAAATATAGTGTCCGAAAAAAAATTCTAATCTATAGTTTCTCTAAAAATATTTCTTCCCAAAAAAAAAGATCAAACTACAGTTTCATTAAGAATTCAAAACTGTAGTGGTCAAAACATAATTCATCATGTGATTTTATCTTAAAAAATTTCATCAAACTTGATCATCGCATGATCTCATTTAATTTTTTTTAATATATTAAAGAAACATTGTCACCATATTATATGAGCTATTGCAATTTTGAAATACATGATGAAATAATCAATGAATATGGATATATTATCTGTCTATGCATAAAATGCAAACTTTGTTGTTTCTGTAATTTACGAGTAGTTTTTAACTTCCGAATGAGATTTGAAAAGAATTCAAAAAGATGACACGCCAACGATCACTGCTACATTTAAAGTGATTGAGCCTGAAACTATAGATTTTATTAGTGATCCAGTGCTCAAAATTTTCATAAGTAAATTTAATCGTTTGTAATGTTTATGAGCCATTTTTATAACAAAAACACATTTTATAACATAACTTTGTTGTGACATTTCTATTCAACAACAATAATACTTCTGTTGCAAAAGTTAGCCTAGAAAAGCCATTTCTTCATGCAAAGACATTATGCGATTCAGTGGAATGGTTTCTCATTTCACCAGAGCCGATTCAAGTCAGGAGTACATTTGGCGCATGTATCCAGAATGCAATGTTTAAAATAGGCTTAAGTCAACAGTATTCGTGGAAGGAGTCATATGCATGTCCTGATTTGCCTCGTAAAATGACTCCGGGCGGCCTGAATCAAAAATATAACAATAAAAAAGCTGAGATACTGCTGTGATCATATATCCATCATTTGCCATCGTTGTGGACCCGCACAAGGTCGATTCCTGCAAGAACTTGGTATTGCACGTGGGTTGGGTGTGTTTCCCATTTTTTTCCTTGCCCTAATGTTGCCCCAATGTTTTCTCAGAATGTTTATGTACGATTACTGAAAATTTCAGGTGCTTCAGGAAGAATCAAAAATCAAAGTGAAGAAAATATGTGTTGCCCTTATCTGTCGTTGCCCCAATGGCTTTCTCAGGATATGTATGTACTATTATTTAAAATTTCAGGGGTTTCCAGAAGAAATTAGGGTCAATTATGATAGGGGTAAAAAGACAAAAAGGCTAGCTGTCTCAATAGTGTTACGGTTGTCTGACTATACTTCATTATTTGCAGACAGCTTCTCCCATCACAAATGCTTCTGAACCAAAAGCTGTAAATCGTGATTCAGGCAAGGATTTGGCCGAGCTGTTTGTCATGAGTTAGTCGGACACGGTAATGGATATAGCGATTTTTCGTGTACAGTAAATGATGTATAAGGACATTTGGTTTGCAAATAAATGACCTGTTTAGTGTGTTCCAGCTGTATTTGAACAACAAGAGGCTTCAAGGAGCCTATATTCTAGCCAAATTTGTGATCCAGGGAAACGAATTGAAGGCCTTGTGGTATTTAGCAAAATTGCTGTTGAGGGCTTTTCATTGTTTACTTACTGTGGAGAGTTATAGAGATTAAGATTTTGGAACAAGTTGATGCCATTTGCTTAAGTTTTTTTTTAATGCAATTATTGGTTTATCCAGCAACTGTTTTTTTCTCTTGGTATGCCAGAGATGCAGGTTTCTCACATATGTATACAGAGTTCAAAACGGCATTTGCTATGCAATGTGAAGACCCTTTTCTGGGGTGGGGTGGGGGGAGCTACTATTTCAATACTAATTACCAGACATTATTTTCATTTCTTTTTTTTTAGTATTGACTTGATTAAATTTTGTTTTACGGGTTAAGGGTTGTAGCGGGGTAAGTCTCTTGCCAAACGAGCTGTCTTCTAATATTTTCTCTCACATAGCTCACAAAAGTTTCAGCTTGGATAGCTTTTAATTATGAATAGCCCCAAGTGCCAGGGTGATGACAATTAACCAAAAGAAAACAAAAAGTCACTACCAAAGGTTATTACTAGATGAACTATTAATTTTATGGGGTTCCTCACATAGTTTATCAGTCATTAGAGACACTGGGTGTTTGTTTTCACCAGGTGCTATATTGTAGACTTCTCTACCACTGGAGTTATCAGATTGATGTTCCTCGGTTAAAATGGGATAATCTGGAATGACTGACTGCAAGCATGTCTGACTGGCATTAGTGACCTGTGTTCATTCAAAGGGTCTTCCACATCTTCATTTAGAGGTTTTGTTCTATTATTAGGAGTATCTACAGAGCTGTTCAATTCTGAATTCTCAAGAAAACAGTTATCACAAGATTGTCCCATATCAACGGCATTTTCACATGTACTCTCTAAGTGATTATTAATAGTATTTGTTAGTAATTTGGTGACATCATTATTAGCCTGTGTCATATGTGTCATTTATATATCCTTGTGTAAAGGATTATTGGCTTTTAACCAGTTCAGTGCCGAAATTATGAACTCTGGTCTCACAGTTTCAAAATAAACATTTCCTCTGAACTGAGGTTTTCTTTTTAACTTAATGAGAATTATACCACACCTTTCTGGAGGACGAGGAAATATTTTACATGTTTGATAACAATTTACTGGTACATTACGTATAGCACATTAAATGTTCCTCTGTTGCCCTTTTGACATTACAATTATATTTTCAAATACAATGCGCTGGGTTATTATTATTTGTTCTTGTTTTTTTTAGATCTTCTAACTCAATTGGGATGTCATCCACATATAAGTTGTTTGCTGTTGGTTGACATGGAAGACTCCTCGATTGGCTTTCGAGTGACAAGCCCTACAGATGTACTCTTTTCCATGAAATGACGATAGTATGTTAAAAATGTCCTGAGAAGGGTAATTGGTTGTATTGACAGATTTCTTATAAAGTGTTCAGTTACATATACAACATATAAATTATGGGCCTTCCTTTATTTTTCTGTGGAACTCTTCAATACATGAATCTACAGTTTTGTTCTTACGAACACATTTTTGTTTGCGTCTCTTAAGTACTTCTTGTTTTATAGCAGCGTCCATTGTTTTGTATTCTTTTGCTTTCTTCTTTAACAACTCTTTTTTCTCATCAAAATCCATACTTTTGTATTGTCGTGCCATTTTCTTTAGCAGGTCTTGTTTCTTAACAGTATCCATTGTTTTGTATTTTTGGGACATTTTTTTTCTGTATTTCCTGTTTATTTTTCATATTCCTAAATTGTTTTTTCTCCTTTCTGTCAACTACTTTACATGAACATGTAGCAAACAGTATTCTGTATTCCCCTGGAGTATTATATTTCTCTTGTATTTTTCTAATGGCATGGATTTGGATCTTTTTGTGGGTTTAAGGATACAACTGATGCAGTATGAAGCTGCAGTATGATGCAGTATATCAAAACGCCTGTGCATTAATTATTATATATTATTATGATTCAGTTGACTTGCTTTGAAGTGAATCAGTTAATAATCCCTCACTCTCAAACAGATTATCCAAATTTACTTCAGTTCCACAAACTTCTACGGTTCTTAGAAGATTAGCTGGTGGTAGCTGGTTATGTTCTAAACTTGATTTATGACACATCTTTTTGCCTTTGTCAACAATGGTGGGTAAGGATGAGTTGTAATTTCACTAATTAAATGATTTCATCATAGGGTAGCAAAGAGAGTATAGAGCTACAGCACAACTTAGATTCAAGTTTATGGTTTCATTCACACTGTTTTGAGAAACCATCCTATTTTGAATATTCTAAATTTGTATTCCTCTCACTTCAAATATATCATTGTTATGTATACTCTGAAAATAATGCACTAAACTATCAGGAGACAGTACATCGAGAAGAACACATGTACCTTGAGGCTACCCTCTACCATACAAATCTCTAGCAAGAGAATCAAATATTTTGAACCCCATATTACTATTACAATATGTTGCAACAGCAATGCACCCTATTGTTAATATGAAATTGGTGCAGCTTTCAGACATGAACGACTCAAAGGCTCTTGGTAAAGACGTACAATACCGACATCCCTCTATAACAATTTCTTGGTGAACAGTACTAGAGTAACTTTCACTGTATTGCAGTTGATAATCAGTATCAAACACATATAAAGCTATTGGTAATTCTGACTGCATTAAATATGCCTGTCTGGCTAATCGTAACAAACTTGAATAAAGTTGATTTCCAATATTCATTATTTGTAAAAGATCATTTGCAGAGCTGTTCCCTTGAGTGTTACTGTAAATCAAAGAACAAAAATTCATTGAACACATCGTCGTCCTGCGTTCTGTTCAAAATCTAACTCGTTACCTTGACTATATGGAGCTACTATTGTTTTGTTAGGGTCAACTAATGTTGGAGAGCCAGGATTTTTTCCTATGTCTCTACCTTATTTATAATTGCAATAATTAGCTACATGAGCCTCATTCTTGCAAGAACATATCAGTTTGTTGCAAGAAAATTAAATATCGACTGGCACGATATTTTACCTTTCTTATACTTTGACCAATTCTTTCATTACAGCTTAACTTAAATGTCTTTTTATTTAATAGCTTTTTTAAGCATTAACATAACAGCACAATGTAGATGACAAAGGGATACATTAGAGAATACGTGCATAGACAAATTTTCTAACCTTTAATGCTCTTGTTCCTAAACCTTTTCAAATTCGTATTGGTATTTTGCTTGGTTCACGATCACGTCTAAATACAAGATGAGATTTGCGTCTATGCTTCTCTCGATTAACATTACATAACGCAGTTGATATAGCATGTTTCTCGATGAACGTTCACTTATAAATGTTCGCTCATAAAGAGATCTCTCATAAGGTTCGCGAACCGACCCGTTCCGAAAACATTCGCTCTGACGAAGGGCTAACGCTCGAAACGTCAGCTTTTTTACCCTTTACGGTGGCTAATTTACGTTTTCAACTCAGTTGTTAACACTAAATTACCTGCTATCTGTTAGTGTGGGTCTACTGCGAACGATGTCTGCATATCTTGTATGCGTTTTGAGCGTGTTATACACACCACGAAAGCTTCTCTTCGTCCGCCATTACACCATGTCATGTGCTCATTAGTTAAAACGTCGCGTATGCGTCAGAGTCAAAAAATTGCGCATGCATGATGAGAACTTGACCGCGATTTGTGACCGAACGAGAAAAAAACAACCAAGCCGGAATTTCGACTGGGGTCAATTGTCTTGAGCTGGGAATCGTCTGTGGAATTTGTGTTATTTGATTAGCAAGCGAGTGTTATATTTGCTTTTAATAGCAATGAGGGGAAACCCCTTTCACGAAATCAGTTCATCAGAAATCAATGTGAATAAGTTGAATTTGTGTTTAAGAACAGGATGCTTACAAAGTGAGAGAGCTAGTGGGGTATTTAGGGAACAAACTAAGCCTGTCTATGAACCTGTATCAATCGGCACCGCATTAAGCGCCAATTGTCAAATACAATTGAGGGCCAATTTTTATTTGAATAGCAAGCAAATGTTATATTTTCTTGTAAGGGTAATGAGGGGAAACCCCTTTCACGAAATCAGTTCGTCACTCTTTACCTTTGTTCGAGTATAATTTGAGAGTGCCATAAGTCTATTAGTTTGGTTCTCAGCCCCTGGAACCCAATTTATCTGGACGAAGCTCAGCTATTTGGATTGAGAATAGATATATTTGCGTTAGAATTTCATTAACGCCAAAATCAGACAGCATAATCAAGTTGACAAGGTGCCATTATATTCCACAAGAGAGTACAAATTATCTTGTAGTTGAACAATACATTCCACTCGAATAAAGAAAGAATCTTTTTTAATACCCTTTGTGCCAGATGAAATTTGTTGATTTCGAAATAAAAAGCTTTAAAGCATTTCTAAAGTGAAATGCCAAAATGATGGGAGATGGAAATAGCTGGTTGGCGTGAAGAAATACGAAGGATACAAAATGGAGATCTAAGTAATACCAAGGGCCATTTCAGTGATTTATAAAGTATATTAATGAACGTAGTTATTCAGAAATTGGTTCCCTTGATTCCATGAAGAACTTTAGCTCTCTGAAATTTATCGGCTCTTCTGAAACAATTTCGAGGAATATAAATCCGATTGTTTATTCAATTTACTTCCGCAAGATCAGTTACTATTTGTTTGACTTGAAAATGCCCATTGTATTACAAAGGTGTAACTAATAGCAATTTGCCTTACTTACCTTCAGAACCGTAAGTTTCTCCTAGATGAACGACAAACAAAAAGATACACAGCGAAAACTTTTGGATATCCATGTCTATGTCTCAAAATATGCTACTGTCGAATGAAGATTATGGTTTGTTGTTATCACGAGATTTCTATCTCATGTCCTTTATTATGACGGAAGGAAAAAAACCCACTTCCACTTTTACTTTCACTTTCACCTCTACATCAGAGACGTGACTGCTGGCAATATCAGCAAGGTGAAGATAAAACAAAGGGTTGAACCCAAGAGTACTTTTATTTCCACGTGGAATGGCCCACTACAGGTTGACTGCGTAATAGAGAAAAAATGGGGGATTTATAAACAACGACGAGGAAAAAACTCAATTATATGCCATAATTTACCACTTAATGTCCCAAAACTAGCTGAAAATTTCTACTAACTTCGAGTTCGGGAGATAAACTAGGATTAAATTTTGCATCAAAGATTATTCTTAGAACTATTTCAGTGGTTCTGTTAGAAATGATCGTTCAAAATATATAAGTGGAGGATAACACAAGCAGGCCGTTGGGACTCAGTAAAGGATGATCGATCACGTCTGCTTAATAGAGATAAACGCTAAATATAGGTCATGTGAGGATTTCGGTATTTTGAAAACTGACCGCTAAAAACAGGGTGACCTTTAGGAGAAGGACCGCGAAAAAGTTGGTAGTAAATTGATTGCTGTCATTAGTGATAGGGTTTTAAAATAGTCAGAGGCAGCTGTGAACTGTGCGAGAAAAATGTTCGTTCAAAAAGACTTGACCTCGTCAATATAGTTTTCCTTTGTTTGCGTAACGAACCATTTCTCAAGTATTACCGCTTCATTGTAATGTAAAAACTCCGATATTCAGAAAATTAAGTGTGTTAGATTTTTTAATAAAATGCCCACCTTCAAATTCGGGCTTAACTTCCTCCAGTAGGTTTATAGTTACTTCGCCAACAAAACTATCACGTTGTCGAAAAAAGTTGACTTTACACTTTTTATTCTACCTTGTGCCATAGGTCAGTAACTTTGCCATCGCAAACCGATTTTCCTATCACGCTGAAAATTATGTCAAAAGACGTCTTTATTTTTCTATTGGTTAAGGTTTGGAAAATATCTTATCAAACGTGTTGAGTTGTCAGTTCCCAGTTTTTTTCATGATGCAGGGTATCTGCTTGTTGGAACAAAACACGGGTTGAATTGTCCATTTTGAACAGGAGTGAGGCTAAGGTTGACCTTGTTATGATACCAACCTTGCTGCTTTTCAAATGCAAATTACTTTGTTATCATGTACGGAACAAATGAGGGAAACCCCCTGTCACGAAATCAGTTCATCACAATCGTATTTATCTTCTGCAAAAAGCCCAGCCAAGTTGACAAGGTGCAATTATATTCCACAAGAGAGTACAAATTATCTTGTATTTGAACAATGCCATACACTCGAATAAACAAAGAATCTTTTAATACCCTTTGTGCCAGATGAAATTTGCTGATTTCGAAATAAAAGGCTTTAAAGCATTTCTATAGTGAAATGCCAAAATAATGGGAGATGGAAATAGCTGGTTGGCGTAAATACGAAGGATACAAAATGGAGATCTTAGTATTACTGAGGGCCATTTCAGTGATTTCCCAAGTATGTTGATGAACGTAGTTATTCAGAAATTGGTTCCCTTGAGTCCATGTAGAACTTAAGCTCTCTGAAATGTATCGGTTCTTCTGAAACAATTTCGAGGAATGCAAATCTCGTTGTTTATTTAGTAAACTTCCGGCACGACATGATTGTTTGATCGCAAGGTTTGTTTGACTTGAAAATACACACTTGAGATATATTTTTTTACAACCGCACACTTATGAATTATTTAAAAGACTACAAAGGTGTAACTTAAAGCAATTTGCCTTACTTACCTTCAGAGCCGTAAGTTTCTTCTAGATAAGCGATAAACAAAAGGATGAACAGCAAAAACTTCTGGATATCCATGTCTACGTCTCAAAATATGTTACTGACGAATGTAAGTAACTTGACATCTTACGTCTGTGAGTAATATCAGCAGTGTCAAGATAGAACAAAGGGGTGAACCCCAAAGAGTACTTTCATTTTTACGGGGAATGGCCCACTACAGGTTGACCACTTAAAACAGGAAAAATAGGGGTATTATAAACAACGATTTAAAAAAAAACACAATTGTATGCCGTAATTTACCACCAATGTCCCAAAACTAGCTGAAAAATTCTAGTAACTTCGATTTCGGGAGATAAACATGGATTAATTTTGCATCAAAGATTATTCTTAGAACTATTTCAGTGGTTCTGCCTTGATTGATCATTCGGTACAAGTGGAAGATAATGCAAGCAGGCCGTAATAGAGATAAACTCTAAATATAGGCCGTCTAGAAATTTCGGTATTTTGAAAACCGACCGCTAAAAACAGGGCGACCACATGATACAGGTTTAATTTGTTCCCTACATACCCCTAACTCCTGGAAATCGATTTTTGTTCACTAACGAAGTGGCAGAGTACTCTAAATTTCACGCACAGGCGTGATTTAGGAGGAGGAGCCCGAAAAAGTCGGCAGTAAATTGACTGCTGTCATAAGTGATAGGGTTTTAAAATAGCCAGAGGCAGCTGTGAACTGTGCGAGGAAAAAGTTCGTTTAAAGAGACCTGACCTCGTCAATATAGTTTGCATTTGTTTGTGTAATGAACCATTCCTTTAGTATTTCCGCTGCATTGTAATGTAAAAACTCCGATATTCAGAAGGTTAAGTGTGTTACGTTTTTTTTAATGAAATTTCCACCTTTAAATAAGGGCTTTACTGCCTTCAGTAGTTTCATGGTTAATTCGCCAACATAGAAAAAAAAAACAAAGTTGACTTTACACTTTTTATTTTACCTTGTGCCATTGGTCAATAACTTTGCCATCGTAAACCGACTTTCCCATCACGCTGAAAATGATGTCAAAAGACGTCGTTATTTTTCTACCGGTTGGGTTTTTTAAGATATCTTATTAAACTTGTTAAGAGTTGTCAGTTCCCAGTTCCTTCTTGATGCAGGGTATCTGCTTGCTGGAACAAGGATAATACAAACCTTGCTGCTTTGTCAAATGCAGATTACTTTGTTATCATGCTAACTAGATACTGATCTCTATCACAACGTTAACAAGGTCACCTTCAGCCTCAAACAAAATCAAATGCTTGGCAACTAAGTACACAACTGTAAAATTGCCTATTCAAAGGGAAATAGATTGTCTAGAAATCATGAGTGACTGCGAATATTGTGGAAATGCATAATAAAGTACCGTATTGATAAATTAAATAACACAATTATTAGGTCATTCAATTCAGCATCCCGCTGCATGACCCTTGACGATTAAGTGGGTCATTTCGCTCTGATGCTGGATCATCTCCAATACATAATTTGCGTACTTATATTTGTGTTATACAGATACGGCACGTCTCGATGAATCAATTTCTTCTCTTTAATAATGTTTGGTTGAGTGGGGTGAAATACACGTTTTTGAATACATTTTGGTGGTTTATCAGTAACATAAACCGCTCATACTGAGTTAGAGTATTGTCACTGTTCTCGAAATAAACCGTTTTACGTTGCAATAAACACCGACAAAAACCAGGTGATGATGTTTAGTACATGAGAAGTCCTCTAGGAAAGAACCATTTGGCAAATTTATTTCCAAGGCCGTCAAAAATGCTGGAATACGTGGCACTCATTAACCACTCTGTACGGATTTCGTCCATCTAACGTCTCCTTTTAATGCAGGATGCTGATACCTCGGAAAATTTTGTTGGTTTATAACATAAGTACTAACTGTAAGTACTAACCTGGTTTTCTGC